TATTTAAACAAGTATTTCTATATATGTGAAAAGGGTCGTACGTACGTATTAGATTAGGCACAGCTAGACAAAATTTTCAAACTTATAATATTTTCACATCACAGTTGATTTTAATACCACATGTACAAGAAAAAAGCCAGTAATTATTACACTATAATAATTTATTTTCTTTCAACCCATTGAAATGTGCCATCAATAGAAGTATTTTCTTCCTGTCACTATAAGGCTCTTAGATCCCCACCCCAATATTATCGAGTAAATCCTTTACCAAAGTACCTAGTGTACTAGTGTGCTAAGCTTTGGCCAGTTGCGCTCCAACCGCCAAACCCATTTGTGTTGGTGTTTATTAATTGTGATTTATTTGTGCAAGTAAACTTCATTTTTTTGGTGAGTGCAGTATAAATAGTTTTTTACATAGTAAGATATGGTAATCCACCAATAAACAAAAATCTGTTTCTCCGAAGCTCCTACAAATATATTTTCTTAGTTTTCCTCGTTTTGCACCGCGCCATATTTTCATTTTGTTACGTTTAATTTTGTAACTCTTGCTAATCCACTAGTAGAAGAATGCTCTATTCTATGATATGATGATATAAAACAGATAGTTGTGTATCCTATTATTCATATTATAAATGTGAAAGTTTGTATGTTTGTTATCCATTCACACGAAATTTAATTAACGGATTTAGATGAAATTTAGTACGCGGATAGTTCATGAACTGGATTAATATATAGGATACTTTTTATCCTGGAAAAATGTTAGGGTCCTGTGGGATTCTAAAAAAACTGAACGGTCGCTTGTATGATATAAAAATCTAAGTTAATAATATCGGTCAGCATCGATATAACGTGTTGAAAAAGCTCAGTTGAAACTGTAGCATATATTTTGTGTATAAAACATTATTTGCGCGGCGGCATGATCAGTTTAGGAAGCTAACTAAATGTGTGTAATTTTTTGATAAAATACATTTCCAATTTTTCATTGAATTCGAACACCATCCGAGCACTTTCAAACCCTTCGAGCAATCAAACGGTTAATTATGTTACTGGGTTTTAATTGTTTTCTAAAAAATGTAATAATTAATTTATGATGAGTAAATTGTGATTTGTGATAGTGAACTTGAGGTGTTCTGGTGAGTTAAATCAACCTTCCTTTAACCTAGCAGCGCGTCAATAAAGATTATCTAGTTATTGGATTTTTTCTCGATTTGCTCTGGATTGAACTGGCGTGTTTTTTTTTGTAGCCTTTTTGTAAACGAATTCTAGAAATGCTTTACAAAATTAATCCCAATAACAGCTTCCGGGCTTTTTTTGTTTGTAAAGACTTCAAATTAAAATAGGTTTCAGTAGCTGCTTTTAGAGCAGATTGACCGATTCAAATTCTTACATTTGACAACTTATTATGCATTATCCCCTCAAACTAATTTTCAGATTAGAATATAAAAGAATTAAAAAGTTAGAATGGTATGGTGCGATAATACAATGGTTTTATTATCAGTACCAGTCTTTTATTTCTACTATAGCAAAATTTGTTGGAAGAAAATTTTCTCATACAAATCCGATTCAAATTGCTTTAAGCAGAGATGAGATTTGTATGGAATCACGTATAAAATCTAAAGAAAATAATTAAACATAAATCATAGAAATCTAAAAACGCACCAAGAATTATTTAAATACACTGATTAATACTCAATTACAAATAATTATCGATTTTTTCGTCCTTACTTAATTATTATTGTTCATTAATTTATGACATTATAGAAATTTCTATGTCTTAATTAGCTGAACTCCCCACCCCAATAAGGAAATCCTTTGATTAACAAAGTGTGGCTCATGGTCAGTTACGCATCAATCACCCGAACCGGTGGACGTGTTTTGGGTAATCGACTTTGTTGATTTGTTGTTCATTCGTTGTGATTTTTGTAATTTTCAACCTGAGAACTAAGTTTGGTGAGTACTGTTAGATTTTCTTACAATACTTTGTCTCAGTTGATAGGTCTACTAATTATTGTTATTTGGATATTTCTCCGTATTAATACAAGGAATATTTTTATTCAGGCAAACTTTAAAATACACGTAAATCTTGTGTTTAATCATAAAACGCGAGATTCCGAATCTCGATTAATATAATTAATATGTATATCCAGTATTCGGTTATCATAAGCTATGATTTTCCGCCATGTTGGCTTTTAATAAAAATATATCTTATTCTCTAATATTTTCATTACAAGTCATCATTGAGGAAAGTTAAGTTTGAAGAATATTATTATTTTAATTTATTTTTTTGAATTGAGATATAAAGGATCCCAGTCTACGCAAAAAGCTTCTTGAACATAAGGAAATTTCATGTATAATTTAAATTTAACACTTTCAAGTGTTTGAAATATAGGCAGGTATTTTACACACTGTTTTTAAAAGATCGTTATTGTATATCTGTCTGTCTGGAAAGATATGGGTTATTCCTCTATGATCGATCACATAGAATAAAGGCTAATGTCATTATTGTTTTAAAGATTGCTATTGGCTCCATACCTACTTTGTGTAATGCTAGCACAGCAATTCGAGTCTCTTTGTCTCCCCTTATTGTCATTTTAATATCATATAAATATTTGATTACGCCGATTGGCGCGAAAATGAGAAAATACTATAAATATATTTTTTTTATTGTAACATTATATAATCTTAGTAGATTCTCCAATATCACCCAAATCTTCAATGTTACCAAAAATTTTAACTATCCATCTGGGTGAGGATGGTGTTTAGTTTACACATCGCCACCCTAGTTTATATTTAAGTGATCTCTTGTGATCACAGCGTCTCCTTCCTGCCAGGTGTTTGTTCACCCCATCGATGGGCAAGTCGAAATCTTAAATTCAACTTGGCTTATTGCAAGCCTAGTATTTAGTTCTTTCAAGTCATAAATTTCATGTCCTAAATTTTTATCAAGACGCGTAAATTTTCCGCTAATGCTATAGACAGCGGCGCTCTCTTACGCACAGTTGTTGAAAAAAATGACCTTTAATCATCTCGATGAATTAACTTAGAGTAAGCGCACATTCAGCCACTAATCGCGGAAATTAAACGAAACTACTCAGTGTTGCCATCAAGTTTGAAAGAGTTGCCGTATTCGATACATCAGATTGCCGTATTTTTAAATAAAAATCATGTGTTTGCCGTATTACCTAATTTTATTTATTAAAATTTATAGGTAGTTAGTATAATTATACGGCAATGACAAATCTGAAATTATGTGCTCAAATTGCCGTATATAACGGTAATTGCCGTATCAATGGCAACGTTAAAACCACTAGTTGCTTGAGAAAGCGCACATTGAGCCACTAAACGCCGCTAGCAGCTTAATAGCAGCTGGAGGCCGCTCGAACGGTTAGATAACGCCGATACTATACAAAATGTATGGAAAAACTCGGCCGCAGCTTGTGGACGCGTTTAGTGGCCGCCATTAGTAGCTCAATGTGCGATTGCTCTTAAACGGGAATATTCTGGCATTGTTATCTGAATTTTAGATTTTCTGACATTTATGACTTTTAAGAACAAGATGTGCGATATGATATGCACTTTTGATATATGACGAACATTGTTACTTGGAACCAGTGTTGGGCAAACTGTAATTAACTTCAAATTAACAATTTCAATTACAAATAGTAATTGGTGACTTTAATTACAAATTACTTGAAATTTTCGAAATGTAATGCAATTACAATTAGCGAAGTAGTATTTCAAATAAACTATTATATTATGATTTATCAAATGTTTATTTACGAAATAGATCAGATAAATTGTGTAATTATAACCACCTTTTTTAAAATTAAGACAATAAATGTTTAATTTATTTTAAATTAGACATTAATACTACTCTTTGTTCAAACATTTGATCAGAAAGTTTGTAAGATTTTGGTAAGTTAAACATTGTAGCATATGAGAACAATCTATCGAAATAAAGGTGGACGCTGCTGAGAGACTAGAAAAGGGATAGGTAGCTGTCTAGGTACAGGTAACGAGGCACACACTTACACACTTATAAATTCATGGCAAATTATACACTAAAACTTTGTTTGTGTTGTGCTTGTTGTGCTGCGTACGGGCATCAAGCGAATAACCGCTCAATTTATATGTTACCCTTAAAAAGTAATTGAGTATTTTGAATTACACACTAATGTTATTTAAATTACTTCAGACGTAAGTAATTGAATTACAGTAATTTCAAATACATGTAATTTCAAATACATGTAATTTCAATTACAGTAATTCAATTACTATTCATTGAATTAGTAATTAAATTACAAAAGTAATTAATTACGCCCAACACTGCTTGGAACTTTCATTATCATGAACGGCCTCGGTAGCGCTCCTGCCTTTTACCCCCAAAGGTCCTATCTTTCAATTCACAAAAATATTATTGAAATGACATTATGACAAGCAAAAGTTATTTTAATAATTGTACAATTATTGAGTTATGAGTTATGGTGAAGTGCACTCTTTCAAATAAAAAAAGAATTTTGGAAATCGGTCCACAATTGACGGAGAAATCGCTGAACATACATAAATATATATATATATATATACATTCGAACACAGAACCTCCTCCGTTTTTGAAGTCGGTTAAAAAGAAATGGCCTAATCGTTAACAGGTGATATTACGACAAACAGAATTATTTAAAAGTAAAATACATTTTGGACGAAAATAGATTTTTCAAAAGAACTATACTAAGTAAGTGGTACCAATGATCGACATTCCCTTCCGTGATTAATGAAATGAGAATCGAGCGTCTATAGTTCGGTTTATACGTTATCGCACTCAGCGACTGGCCAGCGAGCCTTAATTTCATTGGTCACTGAAAAAATGTCGATCACTGGCTCCCGTTGGTCATTGTTGCCACTACATTATAAATTCAATTTCAAAATATCTTTATTAGAGACGTCGTAATGCCTTAAGTAGATTTTAAAGCAAAACCTCAACTTTGTATCTCGTCTTGTTTCAGATCTTCGCGTGGACCCAACAGTCGGCCCTTAGGAGAGCCGAACAAATGATTATCACCCCTTCAGCGTAGACAATAAGAGCTATCACGATGTGGCCCGCGTCGCAGTACTCGCACACCAACGTGGTGGCTGGCAAGCAGAATGAACATCAGAACCAACAGAACCTCAAGACTTTGGGCATGACCTCCGCTATTTCTATGGCAGGTAAGAGAATTACCTTTTGCAGACAAATAATCGACCCCTTCAAGGGCTTTCTTTGGCAAATGATGTGTAAGTATCAGAAAGAAATCATCACATCAACCGTACGACACCCACTGCTGAGCATAGAGCCTCCCTTAAGGACCTTCAAATCAACAAGTTCTCGAGCGTCAAAACCGCTATGCCCTACCTCTCGTAAAAAAACCCTCGTTAAAGGTTTTCTGGTGTCTGGTCAAGTAAGCCTTCGCCTCCCAAAAGACCGCAGTGAAAGAGTGCTACCTCTTGGTGGTGTTGTGTTTGTGGTACTTTAGTTCCAGCGCTCCGCCAGTGTAGAGAATGGGATTCATACTGTCAAAGGGATTTTCGCGTCTCTTGACATTAGGGTGAGGGGGGAAAACTAGTTGTGCCTTTGAAAAAAGAAATAAGGTAATGATGAGGAACAATATTTATATGTATAAAAGACAAGGTTACATCATACCGTAAAGTTGACGAGACACTTTGCTAACGCAACAATCAGAGCTACACAGATAGGTATTAAGAAAAAAAGGAGACATTCGGTTTTTGCCCAATTTTGTACCTTAGTACATATTATCTCAAAAAACATCTAATATGATACTTACTTAATCAATGCATCTACTAACATAGTTTTTAAGTAATAATTGTCACTAACAGATATGGAATTGTTATTCTGTAATGAATTATCATTTTGAACAATAAATCATAATAGGGATGATGATTATAACTTATTTAGTCGTTAGCCCGTATTCGGGTGCACGAAAGACATTACTCGAATTCGGGCACCCGAAGGAAGATGGTGTCGGGTAAACAAAAAGAAATCTACCCGAATAAACTACTCGACTCCGTTGTAAATGACATTTAGTCATTTACCCGAATTCCATTGGCACTCGTATTCGGGCTAACAACTAAGTGTAATCGCGCCATTATTTTTTAATCATCTAACTGACGGACTAAATAGAATTTCGTTTACTTTACCCAGTCATCATCCTTATTGAAGTTATTAAAAATGGTCGAATCATTTTATTGTATCTTCCTAAGGTCCGAAACCGATCGACATCGAAAAGACGAGCGAACTAAAGGAATGCCTTGTGCCGTTCGGCGTGTTCGAATCCGAAGCGGAAATGCATCATCGTATGGAAGTGCTGGGAGCGTTGCACCGGCTCGTGAGACAATGGATACGCGACGAGTCCGTACGCAAGAACATGCCGGCAAGCGTGGCTCATACAGTTGGCGGGAATATATATACCTTCGGATCGTATCGGCTTGGGGTAAGTAGATCATCATCATGTTGGACATAGGCTTCCTATAAAGGTTTCCACACTCAACTTCCTGCACCCAGATCTAGAGATTTCCACAGAAACGGTCCTGCATCCAGTTCCTAGTCCGCCCATTGGTCCGCAGAATAATGTGCCCCACACATCGTCACTTCAGCTTGGGGATCTGTTGAGTTATGTCGGATTTTCTAGATATTCTAGGTTTTTCCACTTTCCTGATTCGAAAACGTAGAGAACATAGATCTTTGAGCCTTCTCACGAGGTGCCAACGACTGCAGATGCCGTAATCAATGCAAGCTTAATGTGCCTTCCGGAGCACGGAGGAGTTCGAGATTGTCAATTTTTTACCCTACTTATAACCGACAACTGCAAAAGTCACGTGAGATTAACACTGAAGTATAACATATTTCCGGAATAAGAGTGTCTTTTAATCCAGGTAATGAGCTATATATACACACTAGGAGCAGCACCGAGACGAAAGGTTTGAATGAATGTTTTCATTTTCTAAGACCTCTCAAAAAACTCCACAGTGGTGCCCACTAGTGTCTTAAAAATCCTTTATTAATATCATAATTGATTTTTCCCTGATCTTTCAATTGGTAAAGGTCGCGACGAACTTCAAAACCACAGACATATAAAACGCAGTAAACTTTTTTTATGTAAAACTGCTACTGCGCAAGCTTTCTTCTCTATCAAGTTGATGAAGAAGTTTTCCGGGAAGTATACTCAATAGTTGACTAAGATTGTCCCAGCTATTATTTTTTAAAGTTATATATACACCATAGTACATGACCCTGTAAGGGTATAGCAAAATTAAGTTGATAAAATTATATAATAATAAAAATGTATTCATAAACACATATAAGATTGAATTTAATGCATATTTCTTTATTATTAACATTTCTATAAGAATCTCGGTCATAACATTATGTCACTATATTAAATTATTCTAATTAAATAGTGAATACTTTAGATTTTTACTGCGTTAAAAATCCATCTAGTGAATAGTAAATTTATGAAAAAGTATGATTTTAATAGTTTTTAAATTTATCAAGACTGTCCTCTTTCTTTATGTTGCCAAGGAAAGTTGGGGCGTGATTACTAGTGTTATTTTAAAATGCAATCACGTTGGCGTATAACCTGTCTATATATATTATACGTCATTGGTACCCAGGTACATCACAGAGGCGCCGACATCGACGCGTTGTGCGTGGCCCCGCGTCACATCGAGCGGTCCGACTATTTCGCGTCCTTCTACGATCTACTCAAACAGCAACCGCAGGTGAGTACGAAGCCTATAAATAAAACTAGTATTTATTGACGTTTCGCATCCTTTTCAGGATTTTCAATTATTCTGACGACGCGAAACGTTAATAAATATATAAATTCAGTACATGTAACCCGTAAAAACTAGTTTTATTTAATGAGTGATGTGCGTGAAAACCTAAGAAACAAATACGAAGCCTATAGTTATGGCGCCATTACATTTGGTCGTTAGCCTTAGTATTTGGGACTCGGGTGCACGAAAGACATTACTCGAATTCGAAGCAATATTTACACTAGAATACGGACTGGAAGATGTTGTCGGGTAAACAAAAGGAAATCTACCCGAATACGGGCGAGTTTTTTTGGCATGAATAAAAATTATTATTAATATTTTCTTTCCGTATCTTAAATTCGTTTAGTATCCCATCTCTTTGTTTCTCTTAAAAAATTATGTAAGTATGTCTCTTGTGTTTACCTTTGCACCCTTCTATATTTATCTATGTTATTATTCCTTTTCCACCATAAAGGTTGCCTGGAAGAAATTGCTGTTTAGCAAAATGTCCGCCTATTATGTACTCTTTCCTCTGTTTTATTTCTTGTTTCATTTGTTGTGTGCAATAAAGAATATTTATTATTATTATTATGATTCGTAGTCGAGAATGACTATTCAAACGTAAAATAATTTGATCCGTTCAGGTGAAGGATTTGAGAGCGGTGGAGGATGCGTTTGTGCCGGTCATCAAGATGAACTTCGATGGCATCGAGATCGATCTGTTGTTCGCCAGACTCGCTCTCAAGGAGATACCTGGTGAGTAGTTTTATATACTCGCTGTCCCAGCGAACTTCATACCGCCATAAAAAAAGGGGTTGGTGGTAGAAGGGTAAAAATTTATGGTTGTATGTATTGTTGTATGATGTACCATAAAAAAATTAAAACATAAAATTTTGTCCAAAAAAATTTAAGGGTGGAGACCACCTTTAACATTTAGGGGGATGAAGATTGATGTTGTTCGATTCTCAGACTTACTGAATATGCATTTAATATGCATATTCATTTAACGATAATCGGTCGAGCCGTCTCGGAGTAGTCAATTACGCACACCGTGACACGAGAATTTTATATATTAGATTTTTTTGTTAAAAGGAGGGCAAACAAGATTATGGCCCGCCTGATGGTAAGCGGTCACCATAGCCTATAGAGGAGAAGAGCTCGATGTCGCAGGTGGTTAGCGCGTTCGGCTGCGATCGTTGAAGTTAACCAACTTTCGCAGTGGTCGGTTATTGGATGGGTGACCAAAAATTTTCTATCTCGAGTTCCTCCGTGCTTCGGAAGGCACGTTAAGCCGTTGGTCCCGGCTGCATCTGCAGCCGTTAGCACCCACCAATCCGCACTGGGCCCGCGTGGTGGGTCATGGCTCAATCTCCCTATTCCATCCATAGTAAAGGCCTGTGCCCCAGCAGTGGGGGCATTAATAGGCTGAAGATGATGGTAGCCTATGGACGCTTGCCATACATCACTCGCACCGTTTCCTACCCTGACCCAATTCCCTACCCTGTGGAACAGTAAGGTGGAGGTTACTTCCCCGGACGGGAGTTCCAATTAGAGCGGAAAATATATTGCCGATAATATATTCACACTTGTTCACTAGATTCGTTCGACTTACGCGACGATATGCTACTCAAGAACTTGGACCAAAAGTGCGTGCGTTCTCTGAACGGATGCCGGGTCACCGACGAGATATTGCGGCTAGTTCCGGACATAAACAACTTCCGACTCACATTGCGAGCCATCAAGCTGTGGGCTAAACGTGAGTATTTTATTTTATTTATTTGATGTGCAAACAGGTGACAGATGTGCAAACATTCAGTACAAAATTATCTTCATTATCACACAAAAAAACAAGGATGATTATTTTTTTTATATGTACATACTGAGTAACTAAATAATAATAACAGAGTGCTTGACATGCTAAGCAACAGTGAAATCATAGTATTTTTTTAAAATTGATTCCCAGCAATAGATTAATTAATTACAAAAGTTACAAATTAGCAATTAGTTTCTTCTTAAACACTAAAGATCTACGATCAAATACATCTATTTCTGCTCCATTAACGACGAGTTCATTATATTATTGCTCCATTAACGAGTTCATTATAGTATTGCAGCTTTGTAATTATAGACATAAATACTTGTTATAATTTTTATTTTTTAAATACATATGTAACTGATCGATTCGCTGCCTTGCAGCTTAAGAAAGCCTACAAAAAATTCGACACGACCATCAAGGCCGCGGTAGCATAATGGTCAGTGCATTCTCCCGGATAGCGAAGGGTGCGGGTTCGAGTCCCGTCTACTGCCGCGTGGAATTTTTTCTATTAATATTTTCTTTAGATAAAGACTTAGTTCCTAGATTCTTTCCACTTACGCGACGATATGCTGCTAAATAACTTTGAACGGTATCCAATAGCACGAGCAAAATATCGAATTCGTAACGTTTGCAAGTACGAAATGTCATTGTCAAATTTTGAATGGAAACTTAAACAGTTTCAAGTGTCATGCGAATATCGTTTCTACATACTTGCGTGTTGTATAGCCGCAATTTAAAGAGTTAATTTCCCCATATTTTACCTATTTGAGCAACACTAATTTTAAAATGTTTGAGAGACGGCCACTTGTCCTTTGAAGTTTTACTCCTACTGTGTTCCAGCACACATTTATTTTATAAGAGAGAGAGAGAGAGAGAGAGAACCATTTTATTGACCAATAAAACACAAACATAAAAATTATAAACTGCTAAAATAAAAATAAAAACATTTATAAAAAGTAAGCATTAAACAATTTCCTAAACCTAACAGCCATCATATTGGTCAATCAGGACCCTGCCTCAGCATAATGCTGCTGTGACATGTAACTAAACGTGTCACGACAACGCTGGTATTCTGACAGGGCCTGTATGGTATGGTATAAGAAAAAACATATTTTGTTAGCAATATGATTTCTTCTTAAGGTTAGGCTTCTTAATAACTAAAGACATAGAGGGAGCGTCAGAGATCCAAGTAACATAATCATAATCATTTATTCAGTTTAGACTGTTACAAGCACTCATGAATGTCTAGTCTAGAAGCTACACCAACGGTTCGTAAATCTACGGCCAATTTAAGGCTTGCTTGGCAGGATGTCACTGGATATCATATTTTGTTCATCATCATCATCAGTCTATTAATGTCCCCACTGCTAGGGCAGTGGCCTTCTCTATAGACGGAATAGGGAGACTGGGCCATGACCCACCACGCGGGCCCAGTGCGGATGGGCCGGTGCTAACGAATGCAGATGCAGCCGGGACTAACGGCTTAACGTGCCTTCCGAAGCACGCAGGAACTCGAGATAGAAGATCACCCATCCAATGACTGACCACTGCGAAAGTTGCTTAACTTTAACGATCGCAGTCGAACGATCGTAATCGAGCTCCTCGTATTTTGTTACTAATTTACTTTACATTTTTCAAATTTGCCAGGTCACGGCATATACTCCAACACACTGGGCTACCTAGGCGGCGTTTCTTGGGCGATGCTAGTTGCCAGAACTTGCCAATTATACCCGAATGCTCTGCCAGCCACTTTGGTGCACAAGTTCTTCTTAGTCTTTAGTCAGTGGAAGTGGCCTCAGCCTGTGCTTCTGAAACAGCCTGACGCGGTTAATTTGGGCTTCCCCGTGTGGGATCCGAGAGTGAGTAACTCAATTTTTACTAATCTATACATATAATAAAATGGTAGGAAAGTCAAAACTGTACATTGAATATTGTTATAAAAGAATGTGATCTACAATCGATACCGAAGCCAAAAATATAGTTTTTAGAAATTTAGTCAAACTTTCGCCTCTGTAATATTAGTGTGATGTATGAAAATAATTTCTTTAGTGACTAAATTCAAGTAGATATCAGTCAAGAATGTTTGTATGGAAAAAACAGTGCCCGCCTCCCCTCTTAATGTATATTGTTATCTCCCACCAGGTGAACGTTTCGGACCGTTTCCACCTGATGCCAATCATCACTCCCGCGTATCCTCAGCAGAATTCCACCTTCAACGTATCAGCTTCTACACGCAGCGTCATCATGGAGGAATTCAGGCTGGGTGAGTTATATACTAAGTACGGGAGTCAGTATGGTGACCAGGAATGGGGATGACGATTAACTTTTTTTTCTTCGTCTATCAGGTAGATTATTAAAAAGTATTGGACGCTTACTTTTTATTTTTTCACTTACTCGAAACATTGATTTGTCGCATGACGACAGATCAAGGTACATTTTTTCTTAGAGGTGATATCACTAGCACGTAGATCCAAACTTTGAAAATAAGTGACTATTGTGTTTTGATAATCTAACTGACGGAATTAACTCGTATTTCAATGATCAATCGAACTGGTATTTCAATGTAGCTTTAATGTGTGCTTTTAACTGGATCCATGGATGGTTTAGATATACAAATTTTGTTAATCCTCCCAATCATTATTGTTAAATACAATTATAATTCCCACCAGGTCTCGCCATAACGGACGAGATAATGCTCGGAAAATGCGGTTGGGAGCGTTTATTCGAAGCGCCAAACTTCTTCTCTCGCTACAAACACTTCATAGTTCTTCTAGCGGCGGCCGCAAGTGCCGACGATCAACTGCAGTGGTGCGGCCTCATAGAGTCACGGATCAGGCATCTCATCAGTGAGTTTAAACCATAAAAATATGTAGATTATACCAGATTATTGAAGTAGTAACTACGCCATAATCTTCTCTCGGTACAAACACTTCATAGTTCTTCTGGCAGCGGACTTCTTCTAGTACCTCATAGAGTCACGGATCAGGCAACGCATTAGTGAGTTTAAACCATATAAATATATAGATTATATTAGGTTATTGAAGTAATAACTACGCCATAGTCTTCTCTCGGTACAAACACTTCATAGTTCTTCTGGCAACTTATAGAGTCACGTATCAGGCATCGCATTACTGAATTTAAACCATATAAATATATAGATTATACTAGGTTATTGAAGTAATAACTACGCCATAGTCTTCTTTCGGTACAAACACTTCATAGTTCTTCTGGCAGCGGACTTCTTCTAGTACCTCATAGAGTCACGGATCAGGCATCCCCTCAGTGAGTTTAAACCATATAAATATATAGATTGTTCAGTACGCAGCCGGTCGTCGGTAGGGCAGAAACCACGTCGCCCTAACTTCGAACCAAAACGCCGGGGCGTACTTAGCTCCGCGATACACGGCTCGTTGGAAGGCACGTTAAATATGCCTAACCCTAACCAAATATAAAATCTAAGGACTTACAGACTAGTGTCCCATCAGCGGCTTCAGTACAACGGCGAGGGGAGGAGCGCTCCTCCTTATGCAGAACCCGCCGGCCAAAGCCAAGCGAATATGATTGGAATATCCAGGGTTTTGGGAACACTTAAACTCACTACGACACAGGGGACCCTAATAGGCTACTAAGAAACACCTGATGCTATTATAATCTATTCTATTGCCCACGCGACTGGGACGGACAAATTGTGCACTTTGTCACCAAACCGATTCATTCGCTAACTTAAGACGGACTGACCGATGGGTACGCAATCGAGTGTTTTTACTCGCACCTCCCTTTTGTTCCTAACATCCCCCCGTCCCGGACCGTTACGAACGGTACGTTAATCTACAGGCAAGCGGGAGAGAGTAGTGACCGCTCTCTTTAAGACTGAGTCACCAATCAAGACCTCGGCAAGACGGGGCACTCCATCAGCCCCGTACACTAACTTAACGATGCGCCCCCGCCGCCAAAATAATGGCGGAAGGTTAGCATCTTTAATCAAAACAAGGTCCCCACTCTTGGGTGGCTTCATCTTGTCGGTCCACTTAACGCGCTGCTGCAGAATATGTAAATACTCTACAGACCAACGTGTCCAAAAACTCTGGGTCAGCTGTTGTAACAGCTGGAACCGTGACAAACGATGAGATTTAACATCTTTCCATGGATATTCTGGCAGCGCGCTAAGAGGTTGTCCAATTAAAAAGTGTCCTGGGGTTAATACCTCTAGGTCATTGGGATCAGAAGACAAAGGGCATAGTGGTCGCGAGTTGAGGACAGCTTCAATTTTGCAAAACACTGTATCTAGTTCCTCAAACGTAAGGACGGCTTCGCCTATCACGCGACGAAGGTGAGTCTTAGCAGCCTTTACACATGCTTCGAATATCCCTCCCCAGTGTGGACAAGCTGGTGGGCTAAATTTCCAGATTATCCCACGACGGGATAGGGTAGTTCCAATGTCTACTTTATTATTGGACAAAAAATCATGTACTTGTTTCAGATAATTATTTGCACCCTTATAATTAGTTCCGCAATCGGAGCGGATCAATGACGGCAATCCTCTGCGTGACACAAATCTACTGAGAGTGGCAATAAAGGCCTCGGTAGATAGTTCGGATACCACCTCCAAGTGGACAGCCTTAGTAGACAGACACACAAAAACACATAAATAGGCCTTATAACTTTTTGCATTACGAAGACGCGACGTTTTTACCATAAAGGGACCCGCAAAATCGGTACCAACACCAGCAAAGGGTCTACTTTCTGTGACACGATCGGCAGGCAAATCTCCCATCTGGGGCTGCATGGTAGCGGGTCTTAGACGATAACATGGTAGACAACGAAAAATAATGCTACGGATTGTCCGTCTGGCTGACAATATCCAAAATTCACGCTGCAATATAGCCAATAATGCATTGCTGCCTGCGTGAGAATTTTTGAGATGACGATCTATGACTAACAAACGAACGAGGTGGCCATCTTTAGGTAGTAACAAAGGATGCCTTACACCATAAGCCAAATTAGCGTTTCGAAGCCTTCCACCAACACGCAAGAGACCAACGTCGTCGAGAAAAGGATTCAAACGAGCAACCGATCCTTTTAGTTTGGAGCGACCATCACGCAAAACCGCAATTTCTGATTTGAAGTTTTCAGACTGCACCAAACGAATCCAAAGCAATAAGGCTTCATGGCGCTCCTCGGGAGTGATAACAGGGGAAACACGCTTCGCCAGTGGTTGCTTACAGTTATGTTTAAAACGCTGAATCCACGCCGTGACACTCAATAATTTTTCCAATTTGCTGTACCGTCCTAACAAGAATTCAGTGTTTATACTAGGCTCAATTTCAAGGACAAGAGCTCGCAATTCAGGGAGTGCTACAGCCGACAGACTCTGAGATTGCGGCCAGTCAGACTCAGGGCGTGCTAGCCACTCAGGACCCCACCACAAAGGATGATTTATAAGGTGAGAAGCATCGCACCCTCGAGAAGCACAGTCCGCAGGATTTAGTTCCCCGGGTACGTGTCGCCAAGTTCTCTTAACCGTCGCTTTAAGTATCTGAGCAACTCTATTGGCTATAAATACTTCTAAACTATGAAGTGGAGTCTTTAGCCAACAAAGGACAATCTGACTATCGGTCCAGGCGAATACATCACTTACCGCTATTGAACGACCTAAAGTGGAACAAAGGTGGCCTAAAAGACGTGAAAGAAGAACAGCTCCACAGAGTTCTAACTTCGGGATAGTCAGCCGTGTCCGAAGGGGAGCAACCTTACTCTTTGCCAATACAAGATGCACTGCTACTTCTCCGGTATTACTAACAGTGCGGAGGAAGACGACCGCAGCAAAACCCTTTTCGGAGGCATCCGAAAAGCCATGCAGGCTCGCTTTATATTTGCCAGCAGGAACAAACAGTCTCGGCATGGACACCTGATTGATATCAGGGAGGGTTGAGACAAAATGTATCCAATCTCGGAGCAATTCCTCGGAGAGAGGCTCATCCCACGAGACTCCCGCAGCCCATAAATATTGCATGAAACATTTGGCCATGAAAATTACAGGACTGATCCACCCATTGGGATCAAAAGTACGCGCCACCGTAGACAAGACAAGGCGCTTGGTCCAGACCTTGGGAACTTGCAGTTGTACCCAGTAAGTGAAAGTGTCTGGGACCGGTCTATACTGGACACCAAGCACCGTCACCTCGTGAGGGCTGTCGGCGTTTTCAAAGAGATGAGGATCTTGGTGATATTCTTCGGGCAAATCAGCGAGTACCTCAGGCGAATTTGACAGCCATTTTCTCAGCTCGTAGCCTCCTGCCTTCATGATTGCCAGCAACTCATCTTTGAGTACCAATGCCTCCTCTACGCTAGAAGCCCCCGTGCATATGTCATCAACATATACGTCATCCGACAAAATGGCGGAGGCGCGAGGATAATTTAAACGCTCCCTCTCTGCTAACTCCAACAACGACCTTATCGCAACAAACGGACTAGATGCAAGACCATAAGTGTTCGTGTTGAGTTCAAAAACAGAGATGGGGTCCCTCGGACTCTCCCTCCAAAGAATCAACTGATATTTACGATCATCAGGATGGATCAAGGTTTGACGAAACATCATCCGGATATCAGTCATAAACACTACTTTGTGTCTTCGGAAGTTGGTTAGTATGTCTGAGATATCTTTATGTAATTTGGGCCCTACATGCAGACAATTATTTAACGACACACCAGACGATGTAGGAGCCGAGCCATCAAAAACCACCCTAATCTTTCCCGTACGTGACTTTAAAACTGCATGATGGGGGAGAAAGTAATGCTCTGTCGAACGCCAGTCTACGCTAGATATCGACATGTGTCCGAACTCCTTATACTCCCGCATGAAGTCTGTATACTTCTTGCGGAAGGCCAAGTCTTTACTCATGCGGCGCTCCATTGACACTAACCTTTTCTCCGCTAGTGTTCTGGACTCGCCCAGAGGAGGTCGACCGGCACGAAAGGGTAGTCGAGTTATCAAGCGGCCAGAGGAGAGGCGACCAGTATTATTCCGGTAAAACAATTCACATTCCTCTTCCTCTGGATTAACTCTTTCGGCAGATGGGGGTTCCTCCACTTCCCAAAATCTCTGCATAACGTCAGAAAGGGTAGTCGCCACAACAGAGGTGCTATCTATACCGAGCGACGGGGAGATTCGGTTTACCGGTCCCATCAGGACGTAACCACCAACTGTCTGAATAGCGACTAGACCACCAGGCTGTAAAACACGTCTATTGTTTAAAAGCAATCGCCCCAGAACATCTGCTCCTAATAAGACGTCTACCGGAGCTGGGGTGTAGAACTTCGTATCCGCCAAAACTAAACCAGACGTCAATGATACAATGTTTGGGTCTAAGTCCACCGAGGGTTGTCTACCCACAACAGTGTTCAAAACAATCGCCGTTGCTGTGATTCTGGTGTTGGACATGGTTGCGGGGGTGAAAGTAAACGTTACTTCCCCTACTAGCTCCTCTACCTTTACATCACCAATACCTCGAATACCTTCCTGGTGAGGTCTAATCTTGAGGCCTAAATAGCCCACTAACCCAGATGATAGGACACAACCCTGAGCACCAGAATCCAAAAGGGCGCGAACCTTCACAGAGTTACCCTTCAGTCCCCTAACTATCACAGAGGCCGTCGGGAGTAGAACGGTCTCCGGAGGGGCAGCTGTGTGTGATTGAGAGGACGTTAATTGCTAGTAGGTGGGAAAGCGAACCGCCTCTCCAGAAGGGGAGGGTCGCTCAAAGCGATCGAGTGGGCTCCATACCAACTTACGGCGTTGGCATTGCAATGGAGAAGGCTCCACAACGGGTGGGGAAGTTTTTAACTCCCGAGGATCAATGGCGATACCGTAGCTATTAGGCTCTTTCACCTGACCGCGTGTCGGCGATTCCGTAGGGCCCCCGCCCGTGCGAGGTGCGCGATATTCATGCGAGTGTCTTGATTCCAGCTTATCGCCCCCTGAGTTCCTGCGGAACCGATTCTGATCGCAGCCCCCGCCCGTGCGAGGTGACTCCTGAGTTCGGGAATGTTGTTCAGGGCGCTCAGAATGCCGGCGTGCTGTATCAAACCCTAGCCCATTACGATTCATGCATAATGACGGATGATGATTTCCGTTACAATACCCGCATGGGTTTGGTCTGGAACATTCTCGCTGCATGTGTGGACCTAAACAAAAATAACACCATCCCCTCTGACGAGCTATAGCCCTACGGCCTTGTATGCGCTGCTCCATAAACTTTCCACAGCTGGGCATTTGATGACCAGGACCTTTACAGTAGATGCAGCGCGGGGTCTCTTGTACCGGGGTAAATTGCCTAAATGGTCGTGGATCCTGCCGTCCTGACCTGACTGGTTTCCGAGCAGTGGTTTGAAGATCTCGAGACCCTAACCAAGAGGGGCCGACAACGTCCGAATTATCGGCTAGCCTACACTCGTCCTCCATGAACTTCAACAAATCCTTGAAGGGCGGCAAATATGTGGAACTATCACCACCATATCGTTGCTCAAAGCGCACCTTCAGGTTATCCGGCAACTTCGCAAGTACTATATGTAGGAGCAAAAACGACCATTCCTCCACCGGAAGGTTTAAACTGCGAAGTGCGTTAATGGCTACCAGTAGCGGGTTCAATACGTCGACCCTCACGCGCATAACGTTTGTAACACGTGGAAGGGCTAAGATAGTGGCGATGTGAGCATCGGCGAGCCTTCTTACATTTTGATATCGCCGAGTAACAATATCCATAGCTACCTTGTAATTGTCATCTGTGGGGGCCAGGTGCTGTACCTGTTCACGGGCCTCCCCCTCTAATACGGTCAGAAGATACGCAAGCTTTTGCCCAGGAGTCAGGTCATCCCTTGCGTCGACGAGGCTATTAAATAGATTAGAAAAACCTTCCCATTCGTCGAGCCGCCCTGAAAAATGTCGAAGGTCTAGGGGAGGGAGACGAGACCACAGAGCTGGAAAGGATTTTGCCACAGTTTTAGAAGGATCCGGTTCTGCTTCCCTACCCTGATGGATGGGGCGAGCGAACTCAGCGATGCGATCCGACAAGTCGTAACACTGGTCGACGTCATTGTCAACCTCCTTACGAACGTCTGCATCAAGAGTGACACCTTTCTCTAAGAACAAAGCGTATTGTTCGTCTACAACGGCCATACGAATCGGCAAATCTACATATCTATTTATTAGGGCTTCTTGCCTATCCGGTCTGTCTATTAAGGCTGCGGCCGTCACCAGCCATCGTAATTCAGCCCTAATCTTTGCTTTACAGGAGAGTGCCGACATTGTTACAAATACGGATTACAAAGTTCTTAAAAAATACTGTCTAAAACAATGTCAGTACCTTAATTTAATAATCAAAATAAACTCTTCAAACATTAACTGTTTATTAATTATAAAGTAACTTTCATATGAATTTATTTAACTTATAAAACTTTCAAATACGAAACGAGTGTAATTGATTATTTTCACAACAACAAAATTATATTTCCAATAAACAAACTCAATAACAACGTTATGTCCATTGACATACGGTCGATAATGTTCAAATACAAATCACCAGCAAGATTTTGTGCAAGTCATGCACACCTGATAACAGAACAAAAGGATCGCGCTGTCGCGATGCGCATTGCAGTTTTTGTTCAATATGATTTTATAATTCTAATCTAATACAAGTTTCTATCAACTTATGATATATGTTAATAATATATGTAGACACTGGAACCTTGGAACCCTACACGGCCTATACAATTGGCAAATCCAACGTGCCGTCCAGTAACAAAAATAATCAAAATATTTTATTGTTAGAACTTCAACTTAAGTGGTGTTGAACCACGCTCTGCTACCAAAATGTTCAGTACGCAGCCGGTCGTCGGTAGGGCAGAAACCACGTCGCCCTAACTTCGAACCAAAACGCCGGGGCGTACTTAGCTCCGCGATACACGGCTCGTTGGAAGGCACGTTAAATATGCCTAACCCTAACCAAATATAAAATCTAAGGACTTACAGACTAGTGTCCCATCAGCGGCTTCAGTACAACGGCGAGGGGAGGAGCGCTCCTCCTTATGCAGAACCCGCCGGCCAAAGCCAAGCGAATATGATTGGAATATCCAGGGTTTTGGGAACACTTAAACTCACTACGACACAGGGGACCCTAATAGGCTACTAAGAAACACCTGATGCTATTATAATCTATTCTATTGCCCACGCGACTGGGACGGACAAATTGTGCACTTTGTCACCAAACCGATTCATTCGCTAACTTAAGACGGACTGACCGATGGGTACGCAATCGAGTGTTTTTACTCGCACCTCCCTTTTGTTCCTAACATAGATTATACTAGGTTATTGAAGTAATAACTACGCCATAGTCTTCTCTCGGTACAGACACTTCATAGTTCTTCTGGCAACTTATAGAGTCACGGATCAGGCATCGCATTAGTGAGTTTAAAACATATGAATATATAGATTATACTAGGTTATTGAAGTAATAACTACGCCATAGTCTTCTCTCAGTACAAACACTTCATAGTTCTTCTGGCAACTTATAGAGTCACGGATCAGGCATCTCATCAGTAACTTTAAACCATATAAATATATAGATTATAGTAGACTGGTTCAGACAACTTTATATATATCCTATTTACTTAGAATCTATATAAGATTGTAAGTAAATGGTTTCTTTATTGAAAAATAATTTAGGGTGCTTTAATTAAAACCTGTTGACCTCAATGAGGTGAAAAAACTTGAATAATTCTGACAAGAGATCCGACAAATAAATAGTTGTAAAAGTTTGAATGTTTTAATCACAAACACTGTGCAGGGGTTGGCAGATTTGTAAAATGGACAGTGGCCTGAATTTTTTAATATGCATTTCATGGTGCATTTATTATATACACATATGTTTTAAAAAGTTATACAAACTCAGAAAATGGAAATGTAACATTGTTTTTCTATCAACAGCGACATTGGAACGCAACCAGCATATAACGATAGCTCACGTCAATCCAGAATGCTACAATTCTATACCGCTGCATTCAAACGATGGCCATCCGTTGGCGCTGCCTCCAGGTACAGACAGTAAGTTCAACTTTTGAATTATTTATTTAAAGATTTATTGCATGTCACATTACATTCAAGATGGTACATTAAATATTATGCTGGGTAAATATGTGACGCCCTGCAAGGGCATAACAAATTTCAATTAGGGAATTATATCTACTCTAATTGAGGCGTTGCCGAACAAAACGGTATAATTACATAAAATTAAATTTCTAAAGTTTTGTTTTTGGGAATTCCACAAGATCCTGACATATTTCCGGGATAAAAAGTATCCTTTGACTCAATCCAGTTCAAAAACTATATGCGTATCAAATTTCATCTAAATCCGTGCAATAGTTTTGCGTAATCTTGCACTCACTTAATCGAATTAAAAACACAAACATACAAACTTGCATATTTATAATTTTACTAGAGGCCGCTCGCGACTTGGCCCGCGTTAAGTTTTTTGAAAGTCCATATTCTGCACCACAATATTCCCCACTACTAACTGCAGACACTTATTACCTACTGGTTGTTTATATGTAAAACATCGTAATAACTCTTTTATAATTTATTTTTTAAGAATAAAACATTTTGAATATCAGCTAATAGGCGACTACAAGTAATAATAATTCACCATATAAATTGTGATAATGCTGAAAATCTCATCCCATTTTATTTTCTTTGTAGGCTCAGCGGTGCCCACTGATCCTGCGCCAGAACTCAAAAGGAATGATAAAGTGAGTATATTCAGTATTCTTTCTTATGCAAAATCGTTATCTTTTTCAAGTTCAAAAAGCTTGCATTTTAGCTTTTTTGTGCTATAAACCATGAGATCAGAAAATGTTTGACTGCACCGTTTGTTTTTTCTTAATTCCAAATTGATTATTATTGAGTTTGAAATGTTTATATTTGTCTTATTTTAATCTTGGTATCTTAAAAGAAAAAATAACAGCTAAATTTTAGCTGCAATAGTTTTTAGCCAATATGATACAGCAATTTCTCCCAACAGGGTGAAGTGATGCCAAACTTCTGTTCGATGTGGTTCATCGGTCTAGTGTTCGAGAAGACAAACTTAACAGTGGATCTCACCTATGACATCTCCTCGTTCACCGAAGCGGTGCACTATCAAGCGGACAACACAAGCATGCTGCGAGAAGGGATGACTATTGAGGTCAGTTATTTGGAACACTTTTTAGTTAGTAGTCAAGTGTTTTTGTTACTTTAAATCCAACAATATTAGACACACCATGTGCTCTCAAAATGTGTCCCAATCAAGTAATGCTTGAAGTTCACAGTCATGCCCGGACTGTTAAAAAGTCAATATACTGCAGAGCTCCGTTAAAAAAAACAATAAACATAAAAACAATGTACATATAAATAGTGTTTGTTAATTTAACACATTAGAAGTAACTTTGTTCTAATACTTACTATAAACAGATTTATTACCAACGATATTAAATACCCCAGATACACCAACACGAACAAAATCGTGCCCGAAACCTGTCCAAAATGTACATTGAACGATCCACGGAGCTCCGTAAGATGATCGCGTAGTCAAAATCAATATAAGGGATTATTTAAATATTGAAAGCGAGCTTTATTTTATACTGTATAAGGTCTTAAATAAAACACATGCGTCAAGGACTTCTGACAGTTCGAAATGCAAGCTCGTAAAATTTTAAGATTTATTGCTATATGCGGAAGAATTTAGACCTTAGTTCTTTGACTCTGCGCGCAATTCTGAACGCGCTGTTAGCAATATAGCAGGCACGTACCGCGAGGAAAAGAGACGGCTATATGACGTCGTATAACCGACCTTGCATTTGAATATCACAAATATTTTATATTAAATCAGTTTGTAGTAAGTATTAGATCAAAATTTACTTCAAATGCGTTAAATTAACAAACATTGACTAGATACCTGTCGAAAAAACGACACTTGCATTTTTTCGCGGAGGTCTGTGGCATTTTGACTTTGTAACGGTCCGCGACTGTGAACCAAGAAGAGTGGAGTTCGAGCACTTCTTGATAGGGACACATTTTGAGCGCTCGTGGTGTATCTAGGGTATTTAATATCGTTGATTATTACAATCAAACGCATGGATTGGAAACCCAATTGATTATTATAATCAAATGCAGGGATTATTAATAAGTTTGTCACGATGTACAGGGTGTTTCTTTTAGAGTGTCAAGCCAGTGCGAGCTGATAGCAGAGTACCATACCTATCAATTTAACCCCGATGTATGTTCTACGATTTTTCGTAGTTTGCGAGTTAGATTTTTTTGTCATTTTTTACGATTCAACAATGAAACTTGGAAAAAGTATAACTTTTTTTTGATATTTGTTTTTTAACAGAATGCCTATTCTTTAAAGGTTTATAAGTAAAACAATCTCCTTTCTTACTTTTACCTAAGATATAAAAATTTTGATTGATAATAAATAAAAATAGATTAAGTAAAACAGCATGGATTTTCAATTAAAATAAAAAAAAAATAGATTTTCCATAACTTCTGACTAATTTTAAATCTGCCCGACTTTATTAGCTTTCAAAAAAATACAAAGGCATTATTTGCTGAAATCTGCCAAACATATATGAGAAAAATTACATTACTTCCGCATTTATAATACTGGATAGACGTAAATAATGGATTAAGTCGCTTAGTAAATGTACGGAAAATTTTGACTAGAAAAAAATCAACACGTTATTTTTTATGTTTTTCCTCACAGGCCCGTCACGTGCGTCGCAAACAACTACATCAATACCTCTCCCCTTCGCTTCTGAAGCGGGAACGAACCACTTCCGGGGCCAAACGTCGACCCCCCGACCATCCTGCGCCCGCGCCTCTTAAGAAGACCAAACGACTGTCTGAAAGTAGTGTGAGTATATATAGATAAATAAAAAATTGCCTGGGATGGAAGAGGGAGATAGTACTTTGTCCAGACAGATTGGTGGGTGCTAATGACTGCAGATACAGCCAGGACCTACGGTTTAACGGCCTCCCAAAGCACAAATGGCTGATGACCTGCAATTGTGTAAGTTGTTTAACTTTTACGATCGCAAGCCGAACGCGCCAAGCATTTGCGCCATAAAAATAGGATATGAAACCCATTTTCCATGTAGGTTTTGCAGAAATTATTAAAACTTGGTAAAACATTTCTACATAACATTCCAGACGGACGAGGTCAGCATCCTATCATACAACGACGACTCAAATTCCTCAAACGTGTACGAAGTCAACATTCAGAACGGAACTGCCCCTGTAGAATCAGCCAAGACCACAGAAAAGCCCCAAGAACATCCGCCTTCTACATCCAGCACTATTGCCTGTACGTAGCAGTATGAAGAATGGAGGCAACGGTTCATATACGGAGCCAACAGTGTCAAACTGAAAGTGAAACGTGACTCTAAGTGACAGTGATTGTGATAGTGTTTTAAGAATGTGATAAAAACTACTGTGTGTTCGGTAAATTGTGCAATTCGCCACACGTTTTGTCGAAGCTCTCGGTGTTGTCCGGTGGCAAGGAAGCAACATGATTTTTTACTTCGGTAAGTTGACTGAAGCATTTACTTTAATGAGTGGCTTCTTTGGTCTGACTGAGGTTTAAACGGAGCTGGTTGTTCGTAATAGTGATGATTCTTGTTTGGTGTAAAATGCATTTCTTGCATTTTATGGTCATATTTTCATAATAACTCAGGAGTGGTAGGACTGTAGGTTTTGCATTAAAATGCCAGCCAGTTCATCTGCAGATATCATCCATCACAGATTTTCAAAGAGTTTTATATCTGATACTGCTGCCTGCAGTTCTTTAATGAACAATCTCTTAATTAAGTAAAATTTTATAAATAGCATTACACCATGGATAAAATATCACAAAGACTTTTGAAGCAGCCTCCTTAATGGGTATTAAAATTTCAAATTTACAAATGATCTAAACTCGATCAGATAATTACATTTACAGAATCTTCTTGATGAAATAGAAGCTGTGGAATATATTTAAATCATAAGAAAACTGCCTGATGAAAAGGGGATATTATTTTAGTAGTTGTTGATTGTGACTTAATAAGACTTGCGCATGAGTAAAACTGGGAGTAAATTTCTCAGCTCAATTATTTTTGTTGATGCACCCATGATATATGCTCTAATTTATCAACAACTTACTGTCAAAATACAATAAATCTTGACAGATCTGTGTTGATAATATTACTTTAACACATTGTGTTACAGTGGTCAGCTATGGAGATGTGGCTCAATGATTTTATTAGCTTGGTGAAAGACAAATTTAGAAATGTAGAAATTAGGCCAATGGAACAAATATTCAATTGTTTACTGTTTTTTAAGGCCTATGGTTCACTGAATTAAAAAAGTAATATGACTTGCATTAAACAAATTCAGATACGAGATTTTTCTTATAATTATTTGTGGCTGAAGCCAGTTAGTCCTTACTTGATGCTACGATGTTATACAACTATATATTTATAAAAAAGTGGTTGATATGTAAGGTTTTTATATTAAAAGTATATTTTTTATTTGAACTCTTTATTCTTCTTAGATGTCGCATGACAACAACGCATCGACACGGTGGTTGCGTAAGTTTTTCAAAACACCTAGACTTAGTTATTGCATTTTACATAAAAAAAAAAACTTAAAAAATATATTAGGAGTAAATCGTTTTTATTTAACAATTGACTAGCGAGGGTCCGTTATTCTTTACGTTCGTCAATGTTTCTTTGCAGGTTATCGACGCCGGGACAACGTTTTGAGGTGAGTTTCAGTAACAGCCATTATTCATATTGACATTTGCAAGGAATCTAGTTAAAACTTTCTGTCGCATAGGATATGTTGTAAGACAATGTGTTCAATTCTTGTTGCCCACCAAAAACAAAACCTAATACAAATGTACATAATTTATAATTAATAAAGTATCATTTACTCACCATTTAAATAGATTTACTTGCAGATATGTCTATAGTACAAAGAATGGGAGACATTCAATATGTGAATTTATTATAATTAAACACCTCTTGCAAATGTCGATATTTGTACTTATCATTAGATAACACTTTTTATGTTGGAACTACTGTTGTGTAGATATATCGATAGATATAATTTATTTTTGCTGGATATGCCAACACAGTTAGGATGTTTCCATGTCGCCTTTTGTGATAGGTGTTTTTTATATCGCCTCATTGTGAATCCATAGCAATTTTATTTATTGCTTTTTCTGTATTACTCTATGACATGTAGTGCCTGTCTGGAGATCAAAGATGCCAAACTACAATAGTTTAAGAGGCATTTATTGATTCTGCTTCTACTGGTGGACTAGACCAACCCAAAAATAGTTATGTTTTATATCCAAACAGTCCCTGTTGGAGTACTTATTTGTTTAACAATTTTAATGGGGACTTAAAGTAATAATAGGTTTGGAATTTTTTAAAGACTACTTAAATAAATTAAATAAAACTTATTGGATGACCACCAGTTGACAATGCAGCCAATGGGATTATAAATAGCGTTGTAATCTAAGGCCTGCTCTCACCAAAGTTATTAGCTAAAGTTTAAAACAAAATTATTTTTTTATTGTACTGTTCTAAACTGTAGTATGCTTAACATTGGTGCAAGTGGCACTAAATGTTTTTTTTGCAGGCTACGACGTAAATAATGAATGTTTATTTATAGTCCCATTATTATATTTCAAAATCAGCCTGAGTCTTCTTCTTCAACTTCAATTCCTGTAGCATGCGCTCCATAAAATTTACATTATATAACGTTTTTTATCACGTCTAACTGTCAAAATACATAGTAATAAGACAATTGAACATGATAAAAACGAGCTATTTACCATATCGCGATGCTCATGCTAGGGGGGCTGGTCCTATCGCTATATTTTATAATTTGAAAAATAATATTTACAATCTTATAAGATAATTGAAACATTTTAATTGCTTTCAAATTTTCGATTTGAAAAAAGTAAGTATATTTCTAATTTTTTAAGAGTATTGTGATAGAAATTTTTAGACAAAAAGGGCATGTCTGTTGTTGAGTAATACTTAAAAAGATTTAATAAATAAAAATTGTAAATTAATATCTTCCTACTCTGATGAAATCCTAAAAGCCAGGGTATTTTGTTTGCCAATGAAAATGTCTTGGTTCATATCTGTTAAGTATCCTTGTCCCAGAATAGGACAGTTATTCGCACTTTCAATTAGATATTAAAAATGAAATGATTCCACCTAGTTATAAGACTCAATGTAAGTAGTTGTTTATAAGGACCTTCTCGATTTGTAAGTTGTATATATATCGATAGCCAATTGATTATTATATGTATGAGAATATATATCACGGAAAAAAAAAGAATTCAAAAACTGGACAAAAAAAAGCGAAATAAATGTATATAAATAAACAATGATTTGTTTGATTTCTACTAATATAACTTACCTTTTGATTAATTAATTATCATACACATTTTTAACCCCTGTTTATTAACCATGTAATTTTCCCTTTTTTTATTGCTTTATGTAATTTTTTCAAAAAATAAGAAAAATCGTGGCTATTTTTTATTTCTGGATATTTTTTTCTGAAGATTACAAATCTCTGATGATAACATTTTATATTTTTAATAATCCAATCTAAAAATTTTGCTCATATTCCAAGTGGATAATAATAAATAAATGCTACATAATTAAATGTATAATAATGTTTTATTCATGATTTCATTCAGCAAGTCAACAATAGTAAAATAAACTAAAACAGTTTCAGTAAAAAGTACACAATTTAATAAGTTTGAAGTCTGCTCAGTCAGCATACATCTGTAACAGAAATGGATACTATGCTTTAATATATCAACTTTAGTAAAAATGTTTAATATATTTGTTTCTTAGGTTTTCACGCACATCACTCATCAAATAAAACTAGTTTTTTACGGGTTAATGCACCCAACTTTATTTATTTATTGACGTTAATTATTAAAAATGTTAAAGTTGATGCCGTCCTTGTCTATGTGATAAAGGAATAAAGGCACGGCAGCACCATGGCAATCCTACGTCCTACTATTACAGTCAATCTGTAGGTTGAGTGGTGAAAAAAAAACCTAAAGGGTAAGTCTTGTTTTTTCTGTTGCCAAATGACGTCAGTAAGCCACCTTGGCGATGGGCATGTTCAACTCGTAGGCGTTTTTTGAAAAACTCAAAAAAACCCTCAAAAAAATTTTGGAACGCAGTTTTCTTGTTTTGTATGCATTTTAGAAACTTTTTTTTCGACCATAATTGTAGAGGGCGTTGAGTACTACAATCATCGCGCGTACACGCTCGACGAGCGGACGTTTGTTAAACAGTTGCTATCAAGTGAACGGACTCGATCAATTATTTACAAAACATTCAGCGTAGAAGTATTCTAATTAATATTATCCAAAATAAAAAATGGTGCAGTGTAGAAAATGCAAGCTTTTTGTTTCTGTGACAAAGGATGATATAATAAAGTGCAAAGGTCAATGCGAGTCGGTATTCCATAAAAAGTGCATAAAAAATATAAAACAATTTTTACAAGATGAAATCTGTGATGAGTGCAAACAAAAAGAAGGGAAAACGCCCATCAGGAAGGAAGGTACGCCGACTAACATAGGGAATATTTCCTCTGAAGCGATCCTCTTGGATATTAACAAAAAACTGGATATAATATATAAGCTCGAAAAACGTATTGAAGAATTACATGAAACAGTAGATTTTTATGCTGAACAATATCAGAAAATGATGGAATTTAGTACGGAAACAGAAAGAAAGTTAAAGGCGATGGAGCAGAAGAATATATACATGGAAAAATGCAATGCTGCCTTAGAGGAACGTATACAGTATTTGGAGCAAAAGGAAAGAGAAACAAAGGTGGAAATTATGGGACTTGAGAAGCATGGAACTGAAAACATACAGAAAATTATAGAAAAGGTAGCTAATATACTAGAATTGAGTGCAGAAGATATCGAAGAAGCAAGAAGGGTGGGTAGAGAAAAAAATAAAGGAGGTAAGCCGCAAGCTGTAATAGTTAAACTTCGCTCAAAAACAGCGAGGGATCGATGGTTAAAAGTTCGTAAAAATACCCCTACTAACGGAGATATATACGGCAACGAAAGCTCCCAGCGTATATATATTAATGAAGATTTACCCAAACAGAAGCGAGAAATATTCTGGGAAACCAAAAATCAACTAAAAGGGTTATATGACTTCATTTGGGTACAAAACGGAAATATATTGGTAAAAAGAAATGAAGACGAAAATAAAATATATAATATCAAAACATTAAAAGATATAGAAGTACTTAAATACAAAACAAACGCAGCAACATCATAAAGTGCAATATAGCACGGCATGTACACACTATATGATTTTTATATATGCTACAAACTTTAATGAATAAAACAGAAATAGAATCAGAAATACCATTTAAAAGGTACAAAAACTTTTACCAATTTTATGGGGAAATGATTGATGGATATATATATATGATACATTTAAATATAAGATCTATGAGAAAAAACTTCAATGAATTTATGGTTCTACTAAGTCAATGAAAGAGGCAAATAGATATTATAATTTTGTCAGAAATAAATGTAAAACAACAGGAAGTAATGATATATAATATAAAAGGATATGATATTTATTCTCATACTAGAGAAGAAAGAAGAGGTGGAGGTTTAATAATTTATACAAGAAAAAACTTGAGCACTACTATGAAAATAATAAATATTGGGTCGGCAGAAGTTGTACATGGAATAATAACTTCAGAGAAAGCATGCACGCATATTGTTGCTATATATCGGCCACCCAATAAGAACAAATTACAATTTATCAGAGAAATTGAGATTCTTATGAGAGGTTTTCAATATACAGACAACGTATTTGTCATCGGAGATATAAACTTAGACATATTGGGAAATAAAATAAATCCCACCATAAACAGATATAAAAACGGTTTGTGTGTATGCGGCCTGCAGAACGTTATACCGAATACAGAGGTAACGCGGGAAGCGGTAGTGAACGGGCGCCGTGAGATGTCCTGCTTGGATCATGTATGGGTGCGAACGAGACAGACTCGCGGGTACTGCGTGAGCGTCGCTGCGTACATTATTGACTGCTTCATATCGGATCATCACATAGTTGGTATTTGTGTAAGCACAGGTATGAGTGACAAAATACAATACAAAAAAGATCAAGTGAGTGTGTTTGGTCAATTGCGTTACTCATTGTCTCAACGACAAGTTAATGATGGTTTAGTATTGTATGACTGGAATAAACTTAACGGATTAAACTGTCCCTTAGTGTTATATGATCATATATGTAATGTGTTCAAGAGTGTGTACGAAAATAGTCAGAAGTTACAGGTGTTAGGTAAGAAAAATCTATTTAAGCAACCGTGGGTAGATATTAAATTATTAAAAATGATTGAAAAGAGGGATAAATTGTTTCGTATATGGAAAGCATCTCCTAAAAACATGAATAAGCGGTTAGATTATACGCGGTGTAGGAATAAGGTAAATAAGTTGATTTTTTATGCAAAAAATAAGTACAGAAGGGGTCAAATAACTAATTGTAATGGTGATTATAGGAAAGTATGGGCGCATATTAATGAATGGACTGGACAGGTAAAGCCAAGTTTAGATAATGTAATAATTAAGCACCTAGGAAAATCAGACAATATTTCCAATATTTGTAATAACTTTACGACAACTTTTACAAAGGAAATATTAGAAATTAAACATTATTGTAATATAAAATTTATGGACAGAAAAACATATGTAAAAGAAAGTAACGTCACATTTAGATACAGGAAAGTGAATGCGGTACAAGTGGAAAGAATCATTAGAAACATAGATTGCCATAAGGCACCTGGGGTAGATAAAATAAGAGCACAAGACTTAAAATATATAAAACAGAAAATCTGTCCTTTACTAGCCAAATTTATTAATATGTGTATTGAGCAAGGAACTTATCCAGAGCAATTAAAAAAAAGTATCATACGTCCAATACACAAAAAAGGTAGTTATACAGACTATACTAATTATAGACCAGTAGCAATATTGTCGGTAATTAATAAGGTGATGGAAAAGGTCATAGTAGGTCAAATTACAGAGTTTTTAGAAAAGCATAAGATTTTACATGATGCGCAGCACGGTTTTAGGAAAGGAAGGAGTACTAGTACTGCTCTAAACTACTTTGCTGAAACTGTAAATACGAGTCTGGATGCTGGACTACAGGTTCTCGTTCTTTTTATAGACTACAAAAAGGCGTTCGATACACTTGATCATAATATGCTGCTTCAAGCTATGAGTGAATGTGGAATAAGAGGACCCATGAATGAATGGTTAAGAAGCTACTTGAGCAAGCGAACTATGTGTACAGCGATATCAGGACAATTAGGAAAAGTGGCTAAAGTGGAGCTGGGTGTACCAACCGGATCAGTCTATGGGCCAGTTGGGTATATCATGCATGTAAACAGTGTGGCTAATGTTGTCCAGAGATGTAGGGTTTGTATGTATGCAGATGACATGTGCCTCATGTTTGCATCTAATAATCCAAATGAATTATCAGAAAATATCCAAGAAGATCTAGAAAATATCACTAAATGGGCACATGATAATGGAATCATTATTAATATTACTAAAACTAAATATATGCATATATACTCACCTTATAACCGTGCAGCTAGGACAATGAATCAGGACACATTTAGCATAATAGGTCACTCTTATGAATGTCTACATAATATGAAATGTGCATGCAATTGTCAAAAAATAGAAATGGTAGAAAATTTCAGATACCTAGGCGTAGACATAGACCGAAACTTTAACTTCAAAATGCATATAGAACAGGTTTGCACTAAGCTCCGAAATGTCTTTTGTAAATTTTATCAGTTAGTGAAAATATTAGACAGACGGACACTACTAATGGTATATCATGCTCTTGCCGAATCTTTAATTAGTTATGGTCTTAGTGTATATGGGCGTACTTATAAAACATATATAAACGAGATAAAAAATATACAAATAAGGTTACTGAAATATATAGTTGATAAAAACACAAGAAAAAAATGTAAACAGGATTACAGTAAATTATATAAAGTATGTAGAATATTGCCAGTAGACAAGAAAGTGGATTATTTAATAGTAAAAGAAAATTATTACAATTTGTGGGATAGACCCCTCATTGTCAATAGGTATAATACAAGTAGTGTTAGGGAAAGGAAGTTTATTATACATAAAGTTAAAAATAGTTATGGGATGAGAACGAATAAATATATAATACCAAAAATTCTAAACAAATTAGAGTGGGTAAGAAAAAATAAGTATGTTAGCATACATATATTAAAAAAATCCTTGAAAGAAATTTTACAGAAATGAGAACACATTATTGTTATTATTATTTTGTATAAGCAAAAACTATGTATCAATAAGTACTTAAACATTATTTTCACATTACATTGTTAATCTTCACAGTGAACCGCTTCATATTTTGTAACTAAATATTTAAATCAAAGTCTCTTTTTTCAGATTGGAAGCATAATAAAACTCTTTTGAATAATGCGTAAATTATGTATTTGTAACAGATAGTCACTTTAAAATAGCTTAGACATAATATGTTAACAGTAGCTTATAGTCATATTATTTGTAAGTTTATAACAGTAGTATTAGTTTAACATGATACTGTAAGGAAAACGAGCGTTGGCTTGCCAACAACCTGATGTTTACAGGTTGGCAAGGTATTAAAATATGAAAAAAATATGTATCAATGATTAAATAAATAAATAAAAAAAAAAAAAAAAATTATGTCTGTGTTGCAATCTAGTACAACAAAAAATGCGCATTGTAGGTGGCACTAAAGTCTCAAAAAAAGTGTTTTTTCACTTTTTCACCCTGAAAATATCATTTTAATGGAAAACTTTAAATGAAAAAGTTGTTCCGTACATAATTGCCAACAACTTTTGTACAAACAATTTTTTTAAATTACTTACAGTTTTCAAGTTACAGTGCAATACAGCGCTACGTATAAACACATTGCTGCTAACGGTAATTTTTTCGGTCCTATGGAGACTTTTTCTTTTCATTGTTACAATCATGAAAAAAAATAAAAAATAGTAAAACGTACATTGAAATGTGCACTGCAAATGTGTACTTGAACTGTCCAAAACCGCTCTATTGGATTTTTCATACCTGCGCAATTTATAACTTGAAAACGGTAAGTAATACAAAAAAAATGTTTTATGTTTTAATTATGTACGGAACAACTTTGCTATTTAAAGTTTTCCATTAAAATGATATTTTCAGGGTGAAAAAGTGAAGAAACACTTTTTTTGAGACTTTAGCGCCACCTACAATGCGCATTTTTTGTTGTACGAGATTGCAACAATGACATAAATTGTAGAACTCAACGCCCTCTACAATTATGGTCGAAAAAAAAGTTTCTAAAATGCATACAAAACAAGAAAAATGCGTTTCAAAAATTTTTTGAAGGTTTTTTGAGTTTTTCAAAAAACGCCTACGAGTTGAACATGCCCATCGCCAAGGTGGCTTACTGACCTCATTTGGCAACAAAGAAAACAAGACTTGTTTTTTTTTTCACTGAAACGATTTTTTTTTTCGACAGATTGACTGTACTATACTTATGTTATAAAAGTGAAAGTTTGTATGTCTGTTACTCAATATTAAAAAAACAGCTGAACAGATTTGAATGTTTAATACATAGACTTCCTTTTCGATTCGAATTGGCCGTCAATTCAACAGGCACATCAATTAGTACTGTATACCGTTAGGGTCGACTACAAGCGGCCAACCCGAAGCGAACTCGTAGTATAATCAAATTAAAGGGCGTGACATCGGGAAGTAAAATTCAACGAATTAGAAATGATATGGAAGCATTACTCTCTAACAAAGGCCGCTCAAACACTGTTCCAAACTCATACAACTACAAACGCGATACGCACACAGAGAAAACAAAATCATTTGATAAATCAAATATCTGCCAACGAATTCCGCTTTACATTCATTGGGTAAGATAACGTTAAAAGGCCCAACCAACCAATCCCATCATCGGCGTGTTAATCACAGTTTTTTCACCCCGCCCATTTGATCGCGGTTTTCGTAGAACCACTTTTTAGGGCAGTTCGTATTCCATATCATTTGTGATTCGTTGGTAAAATTATATAGAGAATGCATTTTACACAGACTATTTCGCGAGCACTAGCTGTAATGTTATAGAAAGTACCTATTCCAACATGAATTTCATGACTTCTCTAAGGTTAATTCAAGCTATAAAATAGTGCCTCACCTCATTGTCAGACATGGTTTTGGCTGCCTGTAGCTCTAGGATGTCGCCTTGTATGGCGACGCTGAGCTCTTGTATGGGCACGGTTTCTGTATGCCAGCACACTTCTTGCTGCCTTACGGCGCGATTGCGGCGTTTGTGCGTCTTCAAATGCACCTGCCATCATCAAAACAGACGTCAATTAGAAACTTTAACACTGACTTTGCACCTTCATCAGAGACCTCATAAAGCAACTGCCGCCGATGAAAAGACAAAGTTTCACTCTGGTGACTACATAAGGTTTCTACGCTCCATCAGACCTGATGTAGCGTATCATCGTCGTCGTAGTCAGAGTGTAAAAACCTTATGTAGTCATCAGAGTGTAGAAACCTTATGTAGTCATCAGAGTGTAGAAACTTATGTAGTCATTAGAGTGTAAAAACCTTATGTAGTCATCAGAGTGTAGAGACCTTATGTAGTCATCAGAGTGTAGAAACCTTATGTAGTCATCAGAGTGTAGAAACCTTATGTAGTCATCAGAGTGTAGAAACCTTATGTAGTCATCAGAGTGTAAAAACCTTATGTAGTCATCAGAGTGTAGAAACCTTATGTAGTCATCAGAGTGTAAATACCTTATGTAGTCATCTGAGTGTAAAAATCTTATGCAGTCATCAGAGTGGAACTTTGTCTTCATCGGCAGAATCTAAGAGTGGTATTTTTTTTCGAATTGAATCGCCCATCTGGGGAAGGAACCCCCACCTTACAGAAGACCACAGTGAAATAAAACTACCTTTTGGTGGTGTTGTTTCTGTCGGTGAGGTTTCAGGGCTTTACAGGGTAGAGGTTTGGGTCAGGGTAGGCAAGGGCACGAGTGATAGTTTTTGTATTGCAAGCGTCTATAGGCTATGGTAGCCGTTTACCACCAGGAGCGCCAGATACTCGCGTGCCACACTTTTAACATTAAGAAAAATGTAGAAAAGTTAACTGAAGCTTCTATATTACTTTGGAACACACTCAATACCCAGTATGCAATATCTTCGTTGTTTGTGATTTATCAGAACACAAGGTGGTTTAACTATTTATTTTGGTATCAGAGACGCGTATTATTATTTACATTTAAGCTTGAAATTTGAATATTTTCGTTATTCAACCATTCAAAAAGTTCTACAGTAACACCCGAATGTTAAATGTGTGTAGAGTTAATTTTCGAATAACACTGATGCGTAATAGAAAAAAGACGTACTTAATACATAAACTTTATTCATAAAACCAACTTTCCTTCGGTGACATACGAGACTACAACCCATAACCTGTTGCTGTTCCTCTGCGTTCGTAATATAGACTACAAACGAAAAAAATAAGAAATCCATATTCTTTTATTCTCTGTAACTTATCTTTTTGACATGCGAGTTGATGCATATACCGCATATGAAACAGCGCGGGGCACAGCCGGCAGGAGAGCCGCGTGGGCTGATTCTGATACTTTAGAGTAATTTTCGCGTATCAACGACGTTTTAGGAGTCTGGAAGTTTCTCGCTAGCCCGTTACGTCACCCATACCGGAAAGCCTTAAGGTGCTGTCCGACGGCCTGTGTTGTCGCGGGCCGCGCAGGGTTGCCAAACGTATGAGAACTCTAACGTTTGAGATTTAGCAGACTCTATACATGATACGAGGTAAATAGAAATGTCGTACACTTTGATATGAGATTTGAACAATGTTGACTGTTTGTGTCATGTACACAAACCAAAATTACTATCAGAAAGTAAATAAATGTCCTTCCACAAAGGATCGACTCGGTAAGTACAGCTTCATTGCCATCACAAAGTGTACGCGATTTCTATTTCGAGGTAAATAGATTTCTAATTAAAAAAAAATGGTTGCCTGTAAAGTCGGTTTTACGGGCGAAGATTTTACGTGACAACGTCTTTTTCTCGGTAGAATATTTATTGATATGAATATAATTAAATTGCACAATAGGAACAAGGAATTGAATGAAAATAAGAATTGCACAAATTTTAACTATAGAAATATATATAATACGTCAAAAAAACATATTACAATGCATTGTGCTTGTGAATACCATCGTAGCATGCAACCACGCTACGACGATTCGTAGCAAACTTGCTACACGGCTACGGGGTTCCAGCATGCTACGAGACTCATCGTAACGTTACCGAGCGTTACACTTTTTCATAAGTGACTCCCAGCCGCAACCTAATTTAAGACGTTGTCACGTCAAAAGATTTCTATTTACCTCGTATCATGTAAAGAGACTGCTAAAATACGATTGGCAACCCGCGACAACACAGGCCGTCGGACAGCACCTTTAGAATGTTCCCTACAACTCACCTTCTTGATGTGCGAGTTGACCATAGACCGCATATGAAACAGCGCGGGGCACAGCGGGCAGCGGCGCGTGGGTGCAGTATGAGCGCACAGCGCGTGCTGCTTGCATCGGTTCAGCGACACGAACCCACGACCGCACGTCTGACAACAGTGCACCACTGTGAGAATTCATTCAGTTGTGTCCCTTCTGACCATAGAGGTATAAGAATAGATTGAGGAAGGTGTCCGTCTAGTAGAAATAGAAAGAAGATAGATAAGAAGAGACCGCTAGCTATCTCTGTCTCTCTCTTGTGACGCATGCGCAATCGTCTGTCCAATAGTTGGTCCAAGAATCACATCGAAATAGTAAGATGCTTACGGTTGCCAAAGCGCACGCGTGATTAGAGAGAGAAAACTAGCGGTCTCTCATGTTGTTTCTCTTTCTATTAGAGGGACACTTCCACTTGTAGTAGAGTCTACATCCCCCCTACTCTATTCTTATACCTCTATGTGGACATCCGTGAGACTTCATTAAGTGGTGTCCATTCTGACATGTTTCCCTAAACCTAAACTTCGATTCGACAACAGTGTATCCTTGTCATTGTCTATGCCCCCTGATCTGTGTAGCAATCCACATTGTTTTTCACAGCCGGATAAAAGAAAAAAAAACCGGCCGATTTTTCTGTTACTATTCGAGTTATATGGTGCATTCAGGCATCATTGACGACCTTCGTGGCCGAGTGGTTTGTACGCCGGGTTTCATGGTGTCGCCGACTCGAGAAGTCCCGGGTTCGAATACCGGTGGTGGCAGATGTTTTTGTGATGAATACGAGCGTTTGTAGTCCAGTCATGGATGTTTTATATGTATTTCTATATAAATACACTTTTATGTATGTACAGTATATGTATTCTATCCGTTACCCTAGTATCCCATAACACAAGCCTTATAGTGCTTACTTTGGGGCTAGGCTAATTGGTGTGACTGTTAGAAATATTTATATTTATTTATTTTATTTATTGATGTCTTTGATATGTTGAGTAGTTTGTCTACAAACTTAACTATATATTAGAATGTGTAAACTATAAACCTTTAATGAATATAAAACGCAAATTATGAAAATGATTTTCTCAATTCATAGCAGAAATCATCCACTTTCACAGACGAGGGGAGACAGATCAAAAAGGAGAGACTGACATTCAATTTAGTTTTAAAGTTTGGATAATCATGCCAGGAGCGACACCCTAATCACATTTAAATAAGAACAATTTAAAACAAGTTCGACAGCGAAATTAATATTATTATCATTATGACGTTTTGGGCCCTTTACAGGTTCCGTATTGCTAAGATAAATATTTTATGAACACAAAACCTGTAGGTATGGGTGTTAAGGTAACTCGTTAAAAGTGATTTTATTTAGTGATTAGTGTAAGTTTTACTTTTAAGATAGACAGGAAATGCTCGGACATTATTAGTCCAGGAAATGAAACATTTTGGCTCGCAATTTTTTCGTCCACCATGGATTTACTTGAAATTTTCACAGAAGGTAGGGAATAGCTCAAGGATCATTGTCTATATCATGCCGCTGTACGCTAGAGCCTCGGGGGTGGAAATTTTGTATTACATTTTAACTATAGGAATCGACGGAAAAATTAATTCTAAGAAAAAAAAATATATACGTTTTTTTTAAACTAATATTTTTTGAGTTATTCAAAGTAACAGTTTTTTGACGAATAAAACCGACTCTTATTAATTATTATTGCGCATAACTCAAACAATATGCATTTTATCAAAAAAGTGTAGAGAGGCAAATTGTAGCTTTTAAAAAAACAAAGACAATGCTTTTTTATAATTTTTCTACGACAAATACGAACTAAGATACAGCAAATTAATGCTTAGCTTTTTTCGTCAAATGCATAAATTGGAAGATTTACAGCGAAATAAAGAGAAAAATTTGCATTATTCAAAGAAAGCTCATAGAATCTTTTTTAAAGTATTTAAACAGAGCTTACAAAAAAAATGTCTCTAGCATGAAAATTGACCGTCTTATGATCAAAATAAGATCGGTACCCGCTTTTATCTACGAAAAAAACTGTGATAACAACCCCCAAAGCACCCCCTAATTAAAATTAATCGCCACCCTTCGGTGATTCTCTATATATATGTAAGTATTATTAATACACCCACGAACTTCGACTAATTTAAAATGCCTAACTTTAGAAAAATTGGTGTTTAAAGAGAACAGTTTTTTTTCTATTTCGTGTTTATAACTCTTTTCCCTCCTCCCTCTCCATTTAAAAATTAAGGGATCATAAGTAATTTAATTCACATAGTCTTATAGCTCCTGAAAAGCACTACAAAATCGTTTCTGAAAAAAAAAACCACCTAAAATGAAGGAGCTATGCTTAAAAAACCGATCAATTATTTTTTCGACAAATTCGAATTATAATTGGAGCGTGAAAGAAGAAATAAGATGAAATCGACCACGGAGAAGATCGAATCAGTGAGACAGACTTTTAAAAAACATAACGTACATGTATTTGAACCTGTATTATTTTTGTGATAATATTTTTTTTATGAAATTCTACTTTTTTATTTTCTATTAATATAAAAATTTCAATGTTTTCAAGGGTAGTTTTTAACAAGGGTAGGTTGAAAGATTATGGAATAGTATCCTAAAGCATGAAACAATCATTATTTAACTATTTTTACCCATATTTAGGTTTTTAATGTTATTTTATAATTTTTGACAATAAGGGGTAGTTTTCACCCCTAAAAAGCAAAAAGCGTACAACGGCACAATAAAGAAAATGAACTTGAGGGTGAAATAAGCCTAATCCCAAATATTTGTACAAATCTATGCTGGACGAAAAAAGTGCGAGGTTTTACCATTTTTGTAGCTTCATTTCCTGGACTATAAGGAAGAACTGAAAAGAAAAAGGCAAGAATTCTTGCCGGTTCTTCTCAATGAAGTCTCCCGTCGTAGGTTTGCAAACCGATGGCGTAATTTTTCGATATTCATAAATACTCGTAAGGGGCGTTTTATGTTATTCCTCATGCTCCTACCCTTCAGTAAAACTTGTCCTAGTGCTCCTATCAATAGGATAGCCTAGTACGAGTTACTTTCCGTTTTGAACCCTTTAATTGTAAGAATTTATGAACTCAAAAAAACTACGTCTTCGGTTCGCAAATATACGAAAAGAGACCTTGTAAATACTGAGGAAAACTGGCAAGAATCGGATTTTTAGACTTGATTTAAAACATATATATATATATAGAGAATGGTCCAAGTGTTTCCTGTCAAACTGAAAAGAAACTAGACAGAGAAGTGTGAGAGGGACGAAGCGATAGGACTATCGCGTCATCTCTCACATTTAGCCAAGTTTGTGCAGGTATTGGCTGTACCATTTCTCTTTCTATTAAGTTATTAATTTCTTAAAAATTTCGATCAGATCATTAATCTATCTCTATGGTTGAAACAATGCTGTCTGGTCTGTCTTATCTTTAGCAAACAAAAAATACAGTATAATTTTTAGTACAAGTATGCATTAAGTAACAAGGAAGAATGGCCAATGGGTTTAAGTTTTTTATAAAAATTTGTAAAAAAGAATTATTTTTTATGGTCATTGTCAATATTTAAACACATGAAAAGAATACCTCCAAATATCACGATTCTGCTATAGGTTGTTATAAATGTTCTAAATACTTATTCAATTAGTGTATTTTGTTACTTTTATATATTTAATATTATGAAGAGGTAAAGTTTTACCAATAGAAAGCCACATTATTTGTGTCATAAGCATTAAATTAAGACTATAAATGAGGCCGTTTTTTTTTATATACTCTGAAGAGTAACTATTTGTGGAATAGTTTGTTTCCCAACTTACCTTGCAAGTGAAAGGTCGTTCATTGGTGTGCAGTCGTTTGTGCCATATCAGTGCTCGCTCACTGAGTACAATACGACCACATATCTCACATGTCAGAACCTTTGAATGGTTCTGCTCAGGTGGCTGTGGCTCAGGTATTTGCTTTTCTGGTTGCTCGGAACGCTTCTGCCTGTATAATATGTCATGTAGTTATATATTTAAGTATGCATTTTTATACTTACTGTCTTCTCTATACTTTTTTTTTAATTAGATAGCTTCATTATTGCATTTCAAAAGAAAAGATTTTGATATTAAAGATAAATTAATAAAATGAAAACGTATCATAGCCTGAGTTTACTATGTTTTGTTGTTCCTCATATTTGTTTTGTATGTAAAGGACACATATTTATAAGTAATGTGTGAAAAGCACCCAGAACAGCCATATGACTGCATCTTATGTATTTTATGTTTGTCCAGTGTCTTAGATAGTTTAGTGAATAGTACACAAATGACCCATTTCTCTCTCTCAGTTATTTATAATTTAAGGACGTATCAATACTAAATAGATTAACTAACAAGGTCTTACCTCATTTCTTTTAAATTCATATACATCTCATGTTTCTTTATGTGCTTATTAAAACCAATCTCCTTTTTATACATCCGACCACAGTAATAGCATGTGTATTCCTTCAGATTGTGTTCTGCAGTGTGAATGTTTAAACTTTCAGCATCTTTCATTATTTTACCACAAATTTTACATACATAGTTATTCTTATTTTGTTTACTTTCATCAGACTTCTCATGTAGCTCCAAGTGTGCTATTATTGTTTCACGTTTTTTGAACACAATCTCACATAAATCACACTGATATTCATTTGTGTGAGTTTTCATATGAAATTGATATTCATCTTCATCTTCCGCAAGAGCTTCACAGATCTGAAAATACAAAAGTAGGTAAGACTGAAAATTAAAAGTTAAAGTTGAATTATAAATTAGTAATATTTATTTATTATCAACTGACTTTACATGAATATAGCAATGTCTCATGTTCAAGCCACATGTGCTCCTTTAACTTTGCCACAAATCTGTATTCTATGGGGCATTTACTACACTTTTTCCATGTCATTGGCCCTCTTTTTTTCTTGTGAACTCTTTTTTTAGGCATTTGTTCTGTTATAACTTTGTAAGCCTTCCGACACCTGTCATCGTATTCTACTTCCACTAACTGTCCGTCGGTTTGCATTTTATAAAATGTTGGCAGACCTTTTTCATTCATTATTATAATCAGATCATCATCATCTTCTTGTTCAATTTTTACTTGTGGTTTAATAAAATTTGTTTCTGTTTTCTTTATGTCTATGATTGGTGGTTTTTCCATATTTTGTTCTTTTTTCATATTTACTTTCTTTTTATCTTCCTGAGCAAATTTTTTGACAGAAAATTTTTTACTTGGGTCAAATTCAATAGAAGGAATATCTGGAGTTAGGATTGGTAGCGATATAAATATAGATTCGTTACTAATATTTGCGGGTATGTCAATAGCATCAAGATGGTATATCAAATTGTCTGTATACAAGTGGAGGAGCAGCTCATTGTGCTTTGCTTTTAAATAAAATTTATATGCATTCAATGTAAATGCGAGGCAGTCTGAACAAATATTAAAGTGCTCATCATCTGAAAACTGTAGAAAAATAAACTATTAAAGGCGAAACCATTAAAAATGCTTAACTGTACTTTTAACTGGAAACCCAAGTAAGAAGTTTGTAGGAAGTAAATTTCAACTAACCTGCATATCATACAACTCTTTTAAAATATTAGCTATACAGTATTCTTCATTCTCAGTGCAGATTTTAGAAAATATATTTTCATAGGGATCTCGTAAAGGCGATAAACATACTCTGCACAAATTTTCGGCGAGTGTACCATTTGCGATGTGTTTTACCACGAGCTGCAAGTCCAATTTGTTTGCCATGGTCCGATTCGATAACAATTTCTGCTGAGAAAACCATTTTGAAGTCAATTTAGAAAATAATAACTTTTGTTTTCTCTCTTATTAAAATTCAGATTTTACCTCTCAAATTTTATAGATGCGTTTTAGTCAGGAAAATGCAAGGAAGCGATCCGTTCACAATTTTTATAGGACGTAAATCGCCACCATTATTTGCCAAATTTTTAAACTGGCAATATTATAAGGCCGTACAACCACAGTGCGGTCGAAAAACCGCAGGTTTGTTGTGATGGCAATTTGTATCTGCATTTTGACATTTTGACAGTGGTTTGTCCTTATCATACTCTATAGGGCTGGTACTTGCACAAAGCCTTTCCACAGCATAAGCAGAGTTAAAAAACAATAAACAAGCCCTCACCGAACAAACCTAGACAAAAAATTTTGGACACATATTGGCCAAATCCTGAGGGAGCCACCACTGAAGAAATCTAATCTAATCTAATCTAAAGGGCGTATGAAAGAGAGACTACTGTCAAGTTTATGCCGGCACTTCACTTGGCTCCTGGTGTACGCTATTTGTTTACTTGACAACATTCAGTCCTTGTCATGCTCTATAAAGAATGAAAAGGAAAGTCCAACAAAGCATCAAACCTATGGACACACCCATCACACCATAGGTAGGAACTGCACCATGGGAGTATGCGAGGTTTCATATGATTGCTTACCTATAACGACTTCGAAAATGCGCCGCGTGTGGCGCGGTCTAATATCACTTTAAATCTGTACTGCAGGCCAATTATGCTCGCTAATTGTGATATTGTTTTGATGTCTATTTCACATTACGTATTATGCTCTCCGAAAAATGCGATATCAAAATGACATCAACTTATGCTATGATGATGATCAACTCTATAAAATGATATCAACTTAAATGCGTATTACGTTCAACTTTTTGACTTAAAATAGTATCGCATAAACGTCAAAAATGTGATACAGGATATGATATTGATATGATCTTGATGTGACATAGGAATGTTTCATAATACCATATAAAAACAATGTCAACTTGGCATCAACATCATATTGACATCACATTAGAATTTTATTACTGAAGCATAATTGACCCACTGACGTACTGACCCGTATTAATTTTTCTTTCCCTAAACTGAAACGTGTTTCTTTCTTTACACTTTACTTTGAAGTACAGACCCGCACAGATTTATTTGAACGTGTTCCTTTAAGGTTACTTCGTTGTATGCAATCGAAACTTGCATTACAGATGTAAAGACCCTAACAAAGTTCAAGTATTAAAGTCAAGCCTATGGATACTTTTTCAGAAATATGCAATTTCACTTTTTTACCAAAAATTAAAAATGGCATTTATTTTCCATTCTTTTGCACTATTTGGCTGAACTAAAGCATCACCTTCAATAAATTACAAAAGGCCTCCCTGTGAACTAATAATAAAGATGTGAAAATTTTAAGAGACACGGTAATGACATTTTGAAACGTGGTAATTACTTTTAGTTGATAGTCCTTGAAAGAATAAAATACATATTGTCACAAACGCTCTCGAAACGTAACCGCGAAAGTGCCAGAGATCGAATTTGCCAGATCACCGCGGGTCGCGATAGAGGTCGAGTAATGCGGCTCATTCTGAAATGAGCCTTATGCAGTGCGACGTAAGGGAGAAAGTGCAACGACATCTGCACTTGTTTACAAGTTATGCGTATTACCTGCGTAGGTATAAGTAGGTATTTCGTACTTGCGGGTGCTAGGTAATTCTCAATTTAACAGGTACTTTCTAGAATGCGTCGATCAGCGTATATAAGCGTGATTGGTGCCGCGCAGAGACAGTTGAGTTTCAACAGCGATTTCGGAGCGAATCCAAAGGCGATCAAAGTGGAACAAAAGTGTTCAAGTGCGATTGTTTAAAGACTTGTATAGTGAAATACAGTGTTTAGTGAGTGTTTTGTAATTAACATTGTGTGTTAATTGTGTGAACTGTGTGGTGAATAAAGAACTGTCAAGCGTGAACTGGCATATAATTTTGAACCCCATCCCGACACGTAACAATATTTATATTATTTGAATATCACACTTAACGAAGTTAACAGTTTTACGTCAACAAAAATTGCAGATGTATGGCGAATCATTGCTTTTATATTCAATTGAAACAATATTGCAAAGCATACTTTTAAAATTATGATGGTAACTGAATGCGCATATTTTCTTGTTATAATTTAATCACATACCTGTCTTGGCATAGTATAAAACAAAGATGTTCCTGCTATATGTACGCTTAGATTTTTAAGCTTCTTAATAGATTTTAGTGAATTCAAAGAGATTAGTGATTGATATTCTAATCAAAATTATTTGATAACTCCATAAAAAAATGGTTGCCTGTAAAGTCGGTTTTACGGGCGAAGATTTTACGTGACAACGTCTTTTTCTCGGTAGAATATTTATTGATATGAATATAATTAAATTGCACAATAGGAACAAGGAATTGAATGAAAATAAGAATTGCACAAATTTTAACTATAGAAATATATTTTGTTTACTAAAACATTGTACATGTAAACTTAAACTTAACACGAGAGACTCATCGTAACGTTACCGAGCGTTACACTTTTTCATAAGTGACTCCCAGCCGCAACCTAATTTAAGACGTTGTCACGTCAAAAAATCTTACGTCATTATAGTTCATTCGCGTTAAGAAAATAGTGACTCATCAGTGCAACTGCAGGGTAAGGGTGTATTCATAATGGAGAAAAAATTAAACATTTTTTTTCAAAACATTAAATAAGTTTAATAGAAAAATAATAAAGTATCAATGATTTTAAACATGTTAAAATATTCCTATTAAGGTAATTTTTAATGTCAACTTAAACGCTATATTAGTAGAGTAACACATATTTGGATTAATCGTAATAAGTACTAAAATAAAAAAATACAAAATTGTCTTAAAACTAAGTACTTAAATCGCTAATCAGTATCGCTAGATTCTCCCGTTACATTTATTACGAATGAATTTTGTTCTGCATGTTCCATGACGTCATCCAAACCCCACATGGTATTTTCTTCGCGTATCACGTGGTCGCAGCATTTCTTCCACCGATTGGCGTCTACTAACGCGATTGCGTCATAAAATTTTTTTTTTACGTCACTCATTTTGAATGTAGTATTATTCGCAGCAATATAATTTTTTATTTGGGCCCACACCATTTCAATCGGATTTAATTTACAATGGTAAGGCGGCAGACGAAGAATTGTAATGCCATTGTTTTTAGCAGTCTCATCTACTAAATATTTATTATATTGTGGGGCGATTTCGGCGACTTTCAATAATAATTCTTTTTTCAAATAACTCATATCCATAGATATGTCTTTGTTTTGCAACCACTCTAGTATTTGCTGCTTATTCCAACTGGCCGTGGGTATTTTTTCAACTTTTACCGAATGGTAGGGAGCGTTATCCATGACAACCACACTTCCTGGTTCAAGCTTCGGTATTATACCATTGAACCAATTAAGGAATCTTTCACCATCCATTTCTTCATGATAATCTTTTGTAGATTTAGATTCAAAGACTAGTAAACCATCTTCCAGGAATCCTTTTTCGCTGCCAATGTGCAATATAATTAACCTTTTCCCTTTCCCTGTCGGAGCTTTTGGGCCGGTTGATAAGCCATCTTGGAAAGCTTGTCTTTTATTCTTGATTGTTGTATCCAACCACACTTTTGTTTTTACGTGTCCGGCGTTTACCCACGTTTCGTCGAGATAGTAAATGGTTTTATTAGCGTTTCTATATTCTTTTATTTGTCTTAAATATTTTCGCCTCCATAAAACAATATCTTCTCTTTCCACTAACAATTTTCTACTATCTTGTTTATTGAAGTCAAAACCAAGCTCGTGCAGTATTTTGTGAAGTGTTGTACGTTTGAAAACAGGAATATCTTCATCAGCTTCGCAAAGTGTTATTATTTTGTCCAATGTTGGATACTCGTTATTTAAATATATAGAGTGTACTTTTCTCCTTATTGCACATTTGTCTAGTTCATCTAATTTATCGACCGTGGATAGTCGAGCTCTTTTTTTCACAGGTGATTTCAATGTATTCGTTTCTTTTTGTTCTTTTATAATTTTATAAACAGTGTTTTCGGACACACCGCATGCACTTGCAGTTTTAATTACTATGCTCTCCACAGTCTCATTTAAATCAATCTGTTTGAAATATTTATAAACATTGTAAATTACGCGTCTCTCTCCGCTATGTATAATTGATCCACTTTTATTTTTTTTAATAGGTGAGATATCCATTTTCCAAATTTAATTTTAAACAAGTAGTACGCAAAATACACAACCGATCAGTTCGAAGGTCTGACTTCAACTGAGCACTGTGAACTCGCCTTACTAATTTCTAGCGTTTTAATTGGCTAGGGGGCGTGGCTTGGCCGGCAGTCGGTGATGAGTCACTATTTTCTTAACGCGAATGAACTATAAATAAATGTAAGTTAGCGTGTTTACTTCTTTGGTTTCTCTGTTGTACAAGATGTAAAAATAATATATTTGCACAAGCTTCTTAAACCTCTTTTCTTTCTAGTTGTAGCAGAAACTACTTTGGTTCAACTTAATTATGTTTGTTATCTGTTTAGCTACATTTTTCTTTCTGAGTAATTATATTTTGGCAGTTTTTTCGACTTTAACATCTTTGATATGTAAAAGTAGTAAATCGTAATAAACTTTGTTTATTTTGAATTCCAAAAAGAGTATTAAGGTCATTACGTGTTGGGACGGTTATTACCGTGGTGAATATAAAACATTGGTAATTACGCACATGGTAATGACGACCTGGCAGTTTTTCCTACTTATCTCTGATATAAAACGCTACTCACGACCATCCTGTGATTTAAAGATGACACATCATGTAATACTTTTTAATGTTACCCAATTTAATGTTACGTGGGTACTACTCAAGCTATAAATTCCACGGAGGTGATGCGTTCTCGTGACAAAAACAAAAATCACAAACAAAAACCAATATTTGAAATTAATTAAGATGTGGGTGTTAGGTGGTGTAATAAGCGGGTATATGTGCTGCAAGGGAGATAGGTTCGTTATAAATAAATACTATAGGTTCAGTGATGCACCTTTCGATACGCCTCAACAAGGTAATGGTGATTTTTCTTTGGGACACAATTTAAATGCGTTTTAAAGCTACATGTCTTAACTAAAATATAATTGATTGATTTTATTATGACCGTTAGATAATGCAGTTGCAAAATTTTAAAATAAATCAAGTATAAAGGTAACGAATTATTTTATACTCTGATTTTGATGTTACATTTTGGGTTTTTGGGACAAACACGATAATGAAGAATCGACACTTTGAAATGATCGTAAAGACAGATTAGTTGAAATATACCAACTATGTTTAAAGCAAAAGCAAGAGAAATACCGTCTTTTACTAAATATAACAAAAAAGAGTCAAAAAACTTTAAATTATACAAATTATTTGAAAGGACGTCACAATTGCATATTTCTGAAGAAATACCCCTTTAAGTATGTACTAGCTATCCTTTGCATTTTAATATAGGGAAGATATTCAAGCAAAAGTAGCACTAAGGCTTAGCACGCACTGCGATTAAACGCGCGCGGTTTAGGAAAAGCTGAAAACGCAAAAACGGGCATCAACACGCACTGCGGCTAGCGTTTTACTTAAATTTATTACATTTCACCATGGATTTCTGGCGAGCAGCATGTGTTGTAGCTTTGATGTTGAAATTAAAAAATAGAAAGCATAAACAACGCCGCCGCCATAGGTACTGGGTACATCCACTAACTGATCAAAGACATTTGAAAGGATACTTTTGCAAAATGTACAACAACGTGCGTCAACATCCCGATAAGTTTTTTAATTACTACAGAATGTCGATTGGCACTTTTGATAAATTATTACATGACGTGGGCCAGTATCTAAAATTTGAAGACACTTCATTTCGTAATGCCTGAAGAGCGACTTTCAGTTACGTTAAGGTAAGAAAACAATTTTAATTTTTTTAAAGTTTTATTTCGCAACAAGTAAATTAAAATATAATTATGTAACCAATTTTTCTAGTTACTCTTAGGCATAGTCTTGGTCTTCTAACTGGTTTACAAATTTTGTCAAATAATCGGCAGTCTCATTGGCTGGTTTCAAAATTTGTTGGTCGATAATTTGTATCTGATTTTGCGGCATCGTTGGATGTATAGCCGGTGCTTGCTGAATTGTAGTTGATAACTGTGGAGATGGGCTTGGTGGAGGCATTGTTGGTGATGGTGATTGAATGGAATATATTGTATCCATCGATGAGGATTGTGGAGAATACTGATAGTGATAGGGGTTTTGTGGCTGGGTATATGTTTGATGATACAATGGTGAACTAGTTATTTTTGGTCCTCGAAATTGAGCTGGTTGGTTGATAACGTGTTGTCCTAGTGGTTGCGGAGATGGATGAGTACGTGCTTTTTTTAAGACATTATAAGGATTTCAATCTTCGCATAATGTTTTTGGTCTTCATTTAATCTACGTAACATGGGAACTAACATAAGCGCGAAGTTTTTTTCTTCGTCCTCTTCTTCCTGTGCTTGTTTGTCTTTTAATATATCAAGTAATTGTTTGTCTATTTCTGTTGAATTATTGTTGTCTCGAGAACAGTTCTTCTTTCGCAGTGGTGTTCTATTGTTATTAGTTAGTTGTGAATTCTGAGCTGTAGTAGACAATGTTATATCCTGAGTAGAAAAATCCGATGATGTATTTGCATCCTGAGTAGAATTAGGCGACGATAGATTACCGCTCGTTTCTCGTTTCTGCATGGAAGGAATTAGAAAAAGCATTGAATCGAAATGAATATATTTCTTTTTCTTTGAAGGGGCAGCTTGTCCAGATTTGCCTTGTTGTGCTGTCAATTCTTTAGCGAAACAATCTTTCATGTTTTTACATTTTTTTTGTATGGAGTTCCCTGAAACCAAATAAACAAAATGAAAATCTTGTTCACAGATACCTTGCTACGGGAAATAGCATAAAGTCGTTGTATTTTGAATACCTGATTGGCGCTACGACTATCAGTGAAATTATCCATCATACGTGCAAGCAGTTGTGGTTATATTTGCAGCCTACTTATTTGAAAGAAATGACAAAAGAAGACTGGTTAAACATAGCACGAGAGTTTTTCATACAAACACACTTTCCAAATTGTGTTGGCGCGATTGACGGCAAGCACATAAGAATCGAAAGACCTGATTATACCGGCTCAGAGTAATTAATTACAAGAAGTTTTATTCAATTATTCTGCTTGCTGTTGCCGATGCTAACTATAGCTTCGTAGCTATTGACGTGGGTGCCTACGGATCCAATAGTGACGCCAGCGTATTCCGAAATTCAAATTTTGGTAAAAGACTTTTAACAAACCAATTGGATTTACCACCATGCTCAGTACTACCAAATGATAATGAAGGATCTGAAATGCCATTTGTATTTGTCGGGGATGAAGCTTTTCCACTTTTAAAACATTTGATGAGACCATACCCAAGCAGAAACATATCTATTAAAGAAAAGATTTATAACTACCGACTTTCGTGTGCCAGAAAAACAGTTGAATGTACATTTGGCATTATGGCCAATAAATGGCGAATTTTTCACAAGCCCTTAGATACAAAACTTGAACTTTGCGATTACATAGTCAAAGTGTGCTGCATATTGCACAACTTCGTACGAAAATACGATGGCAAAGAGTTACCAGAAAATTTGGGCCGATGTGACCAATCGGAACTAAGAAGCTTGCACCCAACTCGACTTCGTCCTAGTAGTGACGTCATGCAAACTCGAAATTTATTTGCCGACTACTTTACATCTCAATCTGGTGCCTTAAATTGGCAGTACGGTGCTATTAACTAACTTTTTATAATAAAATTAAGCACAACACATACCTTTGTTTTTCTTTTCTGCCTCCGACAAGCTAGTCCAATTTCTGCACACATTTTGATACACCTCCTGCCAAAGCCGGGCTTTAATATTTCTGTCTCTGTATTGATTTAACGATTTGTCATATAATGCCGGCCTTTTTTCCACTTCAATAATAATGATTTTTGATTAATTGTCGTAGTCTACATTCGATGTTTCTGAGTCGGACGACATGACTTAACCTCTGTAAAAACGTCTATCCTCCGCACTCGCACAGTCGAGACTGAATAAAAACCGAATGCGATTAACCGCCGTGCCTGCACCACAATACTGTTCTTATGGGACACAAAAAAACCGCGCGTTTTCGAACCGCGGTTAAAACGTAACAAGCTGCGTTTTTAAAATCAGTCACTGAAAAAAGTCACTAATGCGTGCGCTTGTATAGAAAGCTACGTGTTACATTTTTTTGCGATTTCAGACCTGCGGTTAAACGCGGGCGTTTAATCGTAGTGCGTGCTAAGCCTAACTCGATATACATTTCATGTCAATCACTCTCCAAGAAATCAAACACACCGACATTCTGATGTAAAATGGTTGGTTTTGTGGTTTCCTTTGCCTTCCCTGAAAAAGGAGAATAAAAAAAGTGAAATGACATAATTATTTTGTTCGGTGAAGCACAAAAAAAACTTTACAATAAAAACAAATAAAATTCATTGTAAAATTACTTAGGCTATAAAGCAACCACAAATTCTTACCTGCAAATAAGTGATTTCAATTGTGAGCTTTATTTGAAATAAGTGATCCAATCACACGATCCAAAGTTAATGATATCATCTTGTAAAATGCTCGCTAATTACCGAAGCAGTTCATTTGGTTTTTATCGTTATTACTAGTCGGTGATGTTATAACTACATCAAACTATGTGAATATAATCCTTGTGAACGCACAAATTCAATCTTTATAGTTTCAATGCAGAGTTCACAAGAGAAATTCAAAATTGTATAACACTATTTATTTTCATTGTTATTGTCGTACTTAAGTAAGTAAAACTTCGGTATTTATTTCAGGAAGCAACCTTCAGTCCCAAAACTTGCATTTTATTCAAGTGTCTTTTTTCTTTATTATAGGAAATAATGTCAGACATAAATCAAACATTAGAAATTTCAGAAACAAATGTTTCAGAATTATCTATGGAAATTGCACCTGTAAAACAGGAAGCAGATAATGGAGTGAATGAAAACAGGTTTGCCGACATGATGGTAGAAATAAAAAATGAAAATATCTGTGAGGATATGCTGTTAAGCGAAAGTGGTAATGAACTTGCACACATAATGGAAGTAAAGGAGGAAAACCCCATGGATTTGGACAGAACAATCACTGGCATACCTGAAACTGTGATTTCAAATCAATCAATATTAGAACATACAGAATCAGAAGAAAATAACATTATGACTCATGAAATATTGCCTAAAACAGAACATGATAGTAATTTTGAAGTAAAGGAAGAAATTACTGTACCTAGTGAATCATTAGTTACCTATGATTATCCCAATTTTGATGATGCTGTGAGTATGGATAGTAATGATGTAGCAGTCTTGGGTAATGTGGAAACTTGTTTGCATGAGGACTATAGTATTAAATCCGAAACTCAACCTGGCTTTGAGGTTTGTTACCGAGACTACTTTTTATTCATAATTTCAATAAAAATGTATTTTATTAGTATAAATTAGTCATATCATGTTGATAAAAGATGAAGAGCCAAGGCAATACCTATTAGACATTTAGTTTACAGGTGGTCATATTTTATTGGCATTTTTCCACCATGTGTGCTGCAGAATGTATTGAAATAAATATAAAGTGTGAATCAACAAGTTTTTCATAATTGATTCTACTTATAAAATACTTGCCGATTGTTTTCTATCATATATATTGCTTCTGAAAAGTTTAGGACAAGAAAAAGAACAATACAAATCTTGTAATACTGTAAGGATTTTAACATTATTCCTAACTTTATAACAAGAACACCATCTCAAGAGTGACCAGAACAAAGATAAATCAATTATTCTTTAGTATAAATATTTTGCGTTCTTTTATTGGCAGTCCTAATATTTTGAGAAGCAATAGTAAATGTTAAACTAATAAAGAAACTTTGCTGATTTAGACTTTTTATTAACTTCAATACTTTCTGTAGCACACAATGGTTATTAGTTTAAGGAAAATCAATGTGAATAACATTTGACCACCTGCATAACTAATATAATATTATATATATATAATAAATAACACATAATGACATAAATGTCTAATAGGTACGTTTGTGGCTCTTCAGCTCTTCCTTATTAGAATTATGAATTCTATTAGTTGATTTGAATTTATCTCACACAACTTAAAGTTTGCATCTTCAAAAATGACAATTTATTAACAAAATAATTTACTATTCACTTAAAAGATTATTTAGTAATTTTTTCTTTGAATTTATAATTAGGTTTTTTTAATTGTTCAATAATGGGACATGTACATGAGAGTGTGTGTCAGTATATTATAACTTGATAAACAAAACATTTTGTAAGAATGTATCCATTCTTCAAAATCTTTAGTTATTGTCTTTACAATAAATGTGACCAACGAGCATAATGTTACCATTGTACCCAAATTTTATGGAATGCAAATGTTAAGTAATCATAAATATTAATGACTACTAAACATGGACGACGACGAGAATAAGGAAGTAACATACCATATGGGCAGGTCTTTACCCTAAATTTCATGGTGCCTCCACCTTTGAGGTCTCAAGTTCAAACAACAGCCGAGTTCACCTAGAACTATGTTCTTGGCGAATTTGCTGTATCTGGACAAGGTTTAAACGTACCGCTTTTAAGTTTGGATCCCACAGCACGCTTGCTCACAGGCCAGATCACGCATAGCTAGAGGGCGACAGACTGTGGGAACAGTCAGAGTCACATCCGAGGCCCAAATTAATTTGGACAGATCCATAATTTGTTAAATATAAAATAGTCAAGTTTTGTATGGAAAAAGCTAGTTTCTTCTTACGTCCGATAGCTGCGCTGCTTAGTTTTCAAAGAAACTGACGATGCGATACAATTACGGAGCTATCAAACTTCGTGCTTTGTTCTGTTATGACGCTTGCCGTCGCGAGTCCGATCGGTCGAGTTGACCTTAGAATGCTTTGCACGGGACGCGGCGGGCCTTAAGTGGCGTGACAACGCTTTGCGACCTGTGAGTTGACAGGCCGTGGGACTCTTTAACTTGTTCCTGATCGCCGTCAGTGAGGCTATTATCAGCGCCGCCATCAGGATTTAGAGGTCCAGAGGCCTCGGGGCAACAGAGGAGCGGAGGCCCCCTCACCCCAAATTATTTTCCAAATAAAGTAAACAAAGTAGATTCCCTTAGTATTGAACAAACACAAATAAATATAAACGGAAGCAAGAATTATCTGAAATTAAATCTTAGAGTTAACGAACGGAACCTTTCGAGCTTTTTTCGCCGAAAAATCGTTGATGATTTCGTTGAAATCGAGTTCTCGGAGTAAAGGTAAAAGAGCAAAAAAAAGATATCAAAGGAAAAGATGTTTTCTAGTGTTTACTAGTTGGAATTTGAAAGTTTTTTTTCCGAAGCGAAAGCCCCGGGGCCTCCACAAACGGGGGGTTGTGGAGGCCCCGGGGCTTTCGCCCCGGTTGCCCTCCCCTAAATCCGGCAGTGGCCGCCATAAAGATGCGATCAACAAATCGGAAACTGCCGATTTGCCCACTGTTCAGTGATGACTTTCGTCATTAATTGCGCCGATGAGAGAGGTTTCTTTCACTTTTCCACCCTTTGACATGGAAATAAAACTCCCGTATGTTTTAAAGCCGATTCCTATTCGATAAAGTGTGGTGAGACCCTGAAACTGAATTATACATATCATCATCACAATCAGCCGATGGACGTACACTGCTGGACATAGCCCTCCAATTTTCCAAACACAGCGGCCATGCGAGAAAGCTGTCGCCAAGCATAAAACCAAAGTTCACATAAGTATACAAACTTTATAGTTTTTAGTCAAACTATGCAACCTCAGTATCAGAAATAATTCTTAATTATAGGAACTACAATCACAGTTATTTATTATTTATTAAATACATTTCAACAGTAGATGCTCAGAAATGTTCAATAGATTGCAACCAACGGCAGGCCTGTAAATAATTTGCTACTGATTTACGACTGGTTGATAGATATGAAACCGAATTGCATGATGACAATAAACGGACGAAAATAAGGCTAAAACTGTACTAAAAATATCACCATACACCTCCGTTTCTTTACTAAACCACGAAAACGCTCGTGATTAGTCTGCGATTTCATACAAAAAGCCGAATCGATTAACCATACTTCGTAGATAATATATAATAACCAATAACCATATATCCGCTAGGTCGGCAATGCACTGTATTAGAAATTGACAGGAAACTATTAAACATTGCTTGTAATTTGAAGTTAAATTAATTATAATCCAATTATCTATTCACAGGGGCAGAGGCTTGAATACGAGAAGCACGACATAAAAGAAGAAACTGAAATAGTGACCGAAACGCATTTGATTTCCAATAAACTTATCAATACTACTTCTACGACAACCAACCCACATGACGGTGTCCTACAATCGCAAACGACCAAAACACTAGTAATGGAAATCCTGCCTATACCACATACACCGTTGTCGCTCACGAAGATTGGTAACCCCGAAGAAATATTACCAACGACTTACGGTCACGATGCGGAATATGAAGACATGTTTCAGTTGAATTCAATAACAGGCAACGTGTTATCATTAGAACAGGAAGCGTATGGATTGCTCAAAGCAAAGAAAAATACCACTACAACAACAAAAACGTATCCCTGTCTCAAATGTTCCAAGGAATGCAAATATGCGTCCACCTTAAAAAACCACATGGCTGTGCACAGAACCATAGAGCGGCGAGCGATGGGTATCATTAAAGGACGAAAGACGAGAAAGGAGAATCAAAAGAAACGGTTAAAAGAGGAGGCGGATAGTTGCGTCACTTACCCCAAATACAAAATAGAAAAGTTTGAAGAGGATATAAAACCGGACGTGAAGAAAGAAGGCTACGAGTGCACGTGCGGGCAAGTTTTCCAACGACGAAGTAGAATGGAGACGTGTCTTCGGTCACACGATGTATATTCAGACTCTAACACCTGGCATCAGTGCGTAACATGCTCTAAACAATTCAAAGACAAAAACGAACTGATCTCCCATAGAAAAAGGTCGCATCGAAAGAAATTCCAGTGCAAATTTTGTCCTACCGATTACAGTACGCGGAAAGAACTGTTCAAGCATCTGCAAGTACATCAGAAAGTTCAACTTATGGAATACAAAGTGATATCAGAAGTTGTACAAGGCAAACAGAAGCTGAAATGCTTTATGTGCACCAAAAGTTACTCTGAACTGTCTGAATTGAAATGTCACGTCATGGAGGACCATAAGAGTCCTTACGTTTGTCCAAAATGCAAGCAAACATTCCCGAAGATCATAGAGTTTGGCAACCATGTGAAAACATACCACCCTGAAATCGAGGGGCAGTCGGTGCTCGATGTTCTAGAAGCATTCTCTATGCTAGTGAAGGCTTGGAAATGCGAAGAATGTGGATTGCAATTCCATGAGGCAGATAAGCTCGCACTGCATCAAATAGAGAAGCACAGTCCAGACGTTAAATCTGAATCGCAGTTCCAATGCGCAGACTGTCGCAGAGTATTTATTAGCCAAAAAGGGTTGACTTCCCACAGAAGGATACATCATAGCGACTACGTGGAAGAAACGGAAGCTGCTGAAAAGGGTATAATGTGTTTAGAATGTCGTAAGATATGCAAAGACATGGATTCGCTGACTTCCCACATGCGGTTACATTCTCTAGACAGAAAGTATCCTTGCAAATTCTGCGATTTCCGTTTCGCAACTCCCGAGAAGAGAAAAGCGCACGCAGAATTGCATACGGGAGATATGAAATACGTCTGTTTCATATGCGAGTACCAGTGCAGTTCGGAAAACCGTTTATCTCAGCACAAAATGTCTTTGAAACATTTGAACATGAAGGAGTTTTTGTTGACTGGCAAGCCTCTTCTTATAGAAGAGGCTCAGTCACCATCCAAACCGAAAACTAAAAAGAAGAAAGGGGAAAAGAAAAAAGATGAAGTGGACAGTGAAAGTGCTTGTGAACAGAGTGTTCCTTGTGATATATGCGGCGAGAGTTTCGCCACGGAACAATTGATGCAGGACCATAAACAGACGCACCCATTCATAGAGTTCCCCAATGACGATAAACCAAGTAGAATATTTTTCAAATGAACCAACATCTTGCCTATTATTTTAGTGAATGTAGAAGACTTGAGATGTTATAAAACTATTATGTAACTTTATTTACCAGCACATATCCTTAATTTTCTTTAATGTAAGATGATTTCCGCTAAGACGACTGGTTTCGGCCGACTGCGTTTGTACTTGGCGCTAAGATACAGAATCGCACATACAGACCACTAATCTCTTTCAAAGAGTCAAAGACATAAATGGTTTTTCAAAGGATCTTTTTGTCGTAAAGACTAGTCAGATGAATGGCAGCTTTGTGTTTCATCAGAACGATGCATTCTTGCGCAGGCGCATAAAATATATTGCATCGTCATTATTTTCTTCAATGAGAGTTATCTTGCGCTAAAGCTAAAGTGGAGAGTGCTGGTAGATAAGCTATATTGCGATATAGCTAGTACCCAACATGATTTTTATCACAAAAAAAATAAGGTTCAATTTCGTGCCTATAAAATATACTAATATCACCCAATTTTAGATTAGACCAAACTTGACAGTTTTGGTTTTCAACTTATAGGTATTAACGCAGAATTTTGAATTGTAATGAAAATTTTGAGATCTATTTGACTTTCAATAAGGATAAATAAATTCTTAAAAGGAATTTACTATACATTTCAACAAAATAGTTAAGTCAAAATCAAGACCCTTAATGATCAACTTGAATTCAGTCAAATACCTAAATACTCCCTATTTCTATGAGCACAAATTTGAAATTCTGTGTATATAAAAATTTAATTTTTATCCTTATTTTCTTAGTAATAAAAACCATTGTCGGTCGTATGCGACTTGACGACCATTACTGTGATTAGTACTTACTCAAAATTGAGCTGCAATTAAATTTTGAGTGAAATTTCGGTGTTCCGACTTACGTTTAGTAGTTATGTGCAGTAATACAATAAGAATGGCTTCTTATTCCACAAGCAATCTTGATCTTGACTTGAGCAACAAGTTAACTTGACCCAGTGATGTCAAAATTGTATTAATAACAAACTAGACTATCGCAGAAATTCGATTCAAAAATGCGGTAAAATAATTTGAATGGTATAGCACTTAAAGTTCACATTCGCATGCAACTAATGGCTTAGCCACTCCTTGGAACTCCATGAGATACAAGTTGCATTGGTATTGGATTATATTCCTTTTGGATCTCTTTTACAACATTGCAAAATTGCATCAGTGTAAAATTTGGTCTCAGTCTACAGTTTTAAGTTTGATAAGCGCTTGCGATTAACCTTCGATTGCTTACAGAAGTAATGGTGTCTAGAAATATTATTCGAATCCAGTTCAAGCTATTATAGCTCTAGAGCCACTTGCAGCAAATTCGCTAATCATTACAATTTAACTATGTAAATCTAGCTTTAGCCCATACAGTAATAATAAATTGACATTGACGTTTGACAGTTTTAGTTGAATCGGGATATAGCAAATTTTCTGCAATTGGGCCTTAAAGACACACATATTACTAAGAAGATATTTCGTATTTTTCAAAAAATCATTGTTGTTCAATAATTTTATCACTATTAAAGGAAATCACTGGTATGATCGAATATCTTTCATAATATCTATTCAACATTATAGATACTGTAACAAGCTACAAAACAGTTTTGTAAACACTTAACTTGTTTTTAATTGTTTGGTTTGATACAAGGTTTATTTCTTTGTTATTCTAGTCTTTTAAGTTATAATCTCAAAAATATGTATTAAAAAATATTTATGATAAAGAATTTAAAAGTCCTTTTTCTTGTTTTCTGTCATTTAAAATACCAGTAGAAGATCCTACAGACGTTGTTCTGCTCAGTACCACCTACCAATTATGAATTTAAACAGCAGGGGCCCACTCGATTTCACATTTCATCAAAATCAGTCCAGCCAGACTCGGACTACAGCCTCACCTGTCGAAAACCCTATATTACTAAAGCTTCCACTGTCCTTTCATGATGCCCGCCTGTCCCGGCTTAAACAACATAACTTGATACAACAAGTTTCAGTATGTAATCGCTTGATGTATACGGTTTGTCAGTTTACATTTAATTTCCACGTAACAGGCACACATTATTAGTCAAATGTAATGTCATCATCATCAGCCTATTGCACTTCGCGTTCCCACTGCAAGGACACAGGCCGTCCCTATAGATGGAATATGAAGTTTTGGGCCATGACCCAACACGCGAACCCAGAGCGGATTGGTGGGTGTTAACGACTGCAGATGCAGCCGGGACTATATGGCTTAACGTGTTTTCCGAAGTACGGATAAGTCAGAGTTATTGATTTTTTGGTCACCGGTCCAATGACCGACCATTTCGAAAGTTGCTTAACTTTCACGATCGTAGTCCGAACACACTAACCGCCTGCGCCATCGAGCTCCTCCTATAATTACTGTATATTAAATGTAATGTATTTATACCTATAATTAATGTATATTTTTATTTGCGGCTGCCTTTTTCTTTTTTTTTGTCTGGGAAATGCCTCACGCATCCTTCAACCACTGGCGGAGCGAGAAGTTATCTGGGACTCCTTCCCGCTCATTTCAACCAGCCCTGGGGCTCGTCGAAATTAACAGGGCCCTACTTAATTCAATTCAAGTCATTTATTCAGTTTAGGCTTTCACACAGCACATGTGAAAGTAGAAAACTACGGCGGGAGACCTTGTACTGCGAAGAACCGGCAAGAAACTCAGAAAGGGCTGCATTTTTCTCCCTGTTTTATTTCATACAGTGTCCTCAAATTGAAAGTTGACATCAAATTTGCAAACATGTGTTGAGGTCAACTACCAGAACCTGAAAATGCCCTGAACATGGCCAGTAAAAATCAAACAATACTCCTGCAACGTTCACCCGACACGCAGTCTGAGGACCGCGGTCCCCAGGTGATGTTGCGGTACTCCGTTGCCGAATGTCCGCAATATTCGCGGCTACCTGTGTCAAGCTAAAATTAAATCGACCTCCGTGGCCGAGTGGTTTGTACGCCAGGTTTCATGGTGTCGCTGACTCGAGAGGTCCCGGGTTCGAATCCCGGTGGGGGCGGATGTTTGTGTGATGGGTACGAGCATTTGTACTCCAGACATGGATGTTTAATACGTATTTCTATATAAATATACTTATATACAGGGTGGTCCAACTAGTGACGTCAACAATTTTTTTTAGATTCCTCGCACCTGGGTGTATCCGAAAATACCCCATTATGTGCCGCGATTTTTCTTAATTTTCGAGTTATAATTTTTTTTGTGTATTTTTAATGATTTCTGCCAGCGAAATTTGAAAAAAATCATATCTTTTTTCGTAGTAGGTATTTTGTACTTCAGTCATGGCTATTTAATACGTATTTCTTCACAAATATACTTATATATGTATAGTATGTGTATTCTATCCGTTACCCTAGTATCCCATAACCCAAGCCTTACAGTGCTTACTTAGGGACTAGGCTTATTGGTGTGTTGTAAAAAAAATGGAAAATGTATTAGGTAGCAGTAAACTTTTTAAGCTAAATCACAAACAATGGAGCCTACAATTTTACATAAAAACACGTCTACTGTATTTATTTTGCTGCTAGCTCAAAAAGTTTATCACTACCTTTGTATATGAACAAAATAAAACGATATCATAGTAAGTATAATTTGTTTTATTATCACACGAATGATAAAATACCCATCGCCTGTGGTTACTAAATATCCAAACTGATACATTTAGAACCATTTTAATAATTAATAATTTCCTAGTTCTGGTTGCGTTCGGTGATGGATCAGTAATTTTGTCGTTCAAAGAAGTTGCAGTTAGGAGTATTATTTAAAAGTTGAGTTTATTTGGCACCGTCTCTCTGATTTCAGATAAGGAATAAATCTTCGGTCTTTGTAATCTCTCCGTGCCATATTAAATATCAACAGAATTTCTGAACTATGATAATTAATAATGCAATCCAGGCTCAGAATCACTTTATATAACTAAATAAATTAATATCGATGAAATAAATACATAAATATAAAGCTTTCAAATTGCCTGTAATGATATTTCCAAAATATAGTTTTTATAGTTATCATAGCTTAGAAGTGTTATTAATTCCTGTTAATTGTACATGGGCTCAATAAGACTTATTTATAATAACTAATGATTTTTTTAATCGACAAACACTTAACGGAAATTTCAGTGATTTCTTCTTAACTTTCATTTGAATATAAGTATGAGTCCCGTACATAAGTTCGTTGTTTGGATTTTAGTCGAATCCAGCGTTTGTCGACTAAACAAAACTAAAATTAATTACATTTCCTATCTCATATGAGACGATAATAATGGCGTACGGGTTCAGTTTTAAAAATTAATCTACAAAAAGTAGACGCAATATCTTTGTGTGTACAATGACACCATGATCACATGTAAATAGCTTTAACTGCTAGTTAGTGATACTTGTAAAAACCTTAGTTTACTGACTGATACTGATTTATTTCAGGGAAAATATCACTATATATTAAAAAGAATAAGACAATGCGTTCAGTTAGCATCCATTCAACTTCATAACGACGACTATTAGGAAATTATTTTTAGTTCAACAAATTTTCTTAACCATATACATATACATTTATACAACGCAGTACAAAAAGAAGATGGTAAATTTACGATGCCTCTAGTCATACCATTTGCCCACTCAACTTTCATCACTTCAAGTTAAAGTTAATTTATACATACACAAGTAATTGATAAAAAATGTCAAACAAGTAAAGATAACCTTACAAAAATACACCTTTTAATGAACGCCCAAAAATACTTAAAACCATAGAGGTATAAGAATAGAGTCGGGGAGATATAAACTCTAATACAAGTGGAAGTGTCCCTCTAATAGAAAGAGAAAGAAGACGAGAGACCGCTAGCTTAGTAAGCATCTTACTATTTCGATGTGATGCTTGGACCAACTATTGGACAAACGACTGCGCATGCGTCACAAGAGAGAGATAGCTAGCAGTCTCTCATTTTCTTTCTCTTTCTACTAGACGGACACTTTTAGAGCCGCCTTCCCAACTCTATTCTTATATCTCTATGCTTAAAACACGACTACATTCAAATGTTTTTACACAAGCCAACTAACAAAGATTATTCTTGTGAATGCAATACGCCCTGTTCACACGATACTGCAAGGTTTTAAGATACAATTGAAATTAAAATGACTCAACATGGGATTTAATGAAAAAAAAAACACTTATTACAATTCCGTGTCAACCGGGGGGTAGTTACCACATTTTAAGTCCTATAAAGTTTCAATTCGTCATTTGAATGAAGATTCATGTTTAAATTCATAAAAAAAACAAACTTATTTTAACTCTTATGCCAGCACTTTACTTGGCTCTTCGCATTTGCTATTTGTAAGCTTGACAACCGTCTGTCCTTTTCATACTTTATAAGGAATGAAAAGGACAAACTGATTGACTGATGCCGGCTTTTTACCACAGACATTTCAAATTGAAGACTGGCTTCAAATTCGTGAACACATTTCAAATGCCAAACTGGTATATTTGTATTGTTATATCTGGACGATGTTTTTTTAATCTCCGTTAGTTAACAAAAGCACAAACATATTTTTTCACAATTCACTGATTTTAAAATCGAACCGAACGCATTGCCCAAGTATAATTTAATAACTAAACGTAATCTTCCAAGGTTGAGCCATAGTGGCGGCGGGTTTCCTAACAACTAATACGTCGTTGCCCCGATGCAAAGTCATCTGTAACGCTGTCTGTTTGTCACCCTGGTGTAGTTTCGCCGTTTTGGGGGGTACTTTTATACCCGCAATGACTATGCGCTCCACCCACGATTGTGTGGGATATGTGGCTTTGTCGTTCACGAAACTGTAATTGTAATACGATTTTATGTTAGAAGAAGCGTTGATTATTACATTTGATATCTATACATATAATAAAATGGTAGGAAAGTCAAAACTGTACATTGAATATTTTTTTAAAAGAATATTGGGGTGTGATCTGCAATCGATACCGAAGCCAAAAATATAGTTTATAGCACAATGTGACCTAAATCCGCACTTTACGCACGCTTTTCCGTGACCTAAGTTGCCTATTTCTGCACGGTGTGTAAATGAATTGACCAACTTCACTCATGTAGAATTAGTACATTACGATACGCGTAACTTAATTTTACTATGCTAATCAAGGAATAAACGTTCATGGATACATTGAAATTCTATTTTGTTGTAATGATATTTGATTTTTTCCTTTTGAAATATACTTTCAAAATGGTAATCTGAACCGGAATTCTTTCTTTTCAGAGTTTGACTTGCAGTCTGTATTGCAATTCTTTGTGATTGCAATACATGAATTTTACTTTCAAAACACTAATCGCATCCCTCTTGCCCGCGTCCGGGGCGGGTTTATGTCACACTTGCTATAAAATAGTATACGATACTTGTGGCCTAAGTTGTCTATTATTGCACGGCGTGAAGTTAGCGCCCGAGCGGAGCGAGGCAACTTAGGTCACGCGTATCGTAATGAACTATTTTTGAATTTTTGTCTGTAAAAAGTACTGCATGGATTTACTTCAAATTTGGCACGAATATTATTAAGAAGTCAGGTCAACATATAGGCTACATATTATCACGCTATCACCTACGGGGAACGAGCAGTGAACCTTTATTTCTAACTCCACGCAAAAATAAAACGTTAATTTTTATACTCACGAGTAAGTCATTTCTTCGGTTGTGTATGAGATCTTGGCGTAGATGTATTTCTTCTTCTTGTATTCATATGTTTCGCCATCGTCGATGTATAGAGAGCCGCTAGCTGTGTTCTGTGGAGGAATCAGTTGTTTTAATAATAAAAAAAAAAACGAGCGAGCCTTACAGTATTCGCGTATGATGTGTAACATTTGAAGCCTCACCTTATATTAGTAAAAAAAGAAATAAAACCTACTACAAAAGGAAAAAGCTATTTGAACATTATGTTCTAAAATCAAATCAAATAGCGCGCGCTTTCGCGACTTCCTGTTACATATTTCCGTCCCATTTCACTAATTCGCTCCCACAAGTTGCAGGAAAACGAGAGGAAAGATGTTACACATCAATAATAATAATTTATTTCCAATAAGAGGTGATTTTCAATTTAACTTATAAGGCTAAAACAGTAATAATATCTCTAACATAACTACATATTTATAGACGACCTCCGTGGCCGGTTTGTACGCCGGGTTTCATGGCGTCGCCGACTCGAGAGGCCCGGGTTCGAATCCCGGTGGGGGCAGATGTTTATGTGATGAACACGAGCATTTGTACTCCAGTCATGGATGTTTAATATGTATTTCTATATAAATATACTTATATAAGTAAAGTATATGTATTCTATCCGTTACCCTAGTATCCCATAACACAAGCCTTACAGTGCTTACTTTGGGGCTAGGCTAATTGGTGTGAGTGTTGGAAATATTTATTTATTTATCTGCTGCCGAGCTAGGCAAAATGCCTGTATTACGGCAAACAGCGCCAATCCCCTTAGCACATATGGCATTATAAGTTCATTACATTCAAAATTAAATGGAAAAGACAAGAAACTGACATATATATTCAGAAAATGTGTGTGTGTACTTGCTTGTGTGTGTGTGTGTGCAACATTCTAGCACACACACACACAAACATACACAAGCAAGTACACATCTTGTGTTGTTAATAAATGGATGGAAAACCCTTATTTATGACATATCTGTTTCGTGTGAAAGTTTTATTTTTAGGGATCCGTACGCAAAAGGATCTTATTAGTACGACTCCACTGTCCGTCTGTCTGTCATCAGGTTGTATCTCATGAACCGTGATAGTGGTACAGTAGAAATTTTCATAGATGATGTATATCTGTTGTCGTAATAACATCAAATACTAATCACAGAATGATATAAATATGTATTTCAGTTTCTTTTGCTCTATATTTACAACGGCAACAGTGTTTATGCTTGAAATATTCACAGAATATGTAGTTATTTATTTACTTTAAAAATAAATGATTAAAAAAGGGGCACTTTCATACAAAAGACGTAATGACTTTTTGCCATTTTTTGCTCAATATATAGATATTATAATAGCCTCAATTTTTTTATAGATGGTGTTTTATTTTAGAGAATTGTACAGAACCAATCGCGCGCGAGTCTGAATTGGCCGTTTTTTTTTATTTTCTCAACATTAACGAATCGCTCCTCAGTTCACTCTATTTCTCAACTAAACCAATATTGTTATTATAAGGTACTAAGGAGCTCGATGACGCGTGGACAGTGGTAAGCGCGTTCGGCTGTGATAGTTGAAGTTAAGCAACTTTCGCAGTGGTCGATCATTGGATGGGTGACCAAAAATCTTCTATCTCGAGTTTCTCCGTGCTTCGGAAGGCACGTTAAGCCGTTGGTCCCGGCTGCATCTGCAGTCGTTAGCACCCACCAATCCGCACTGGGCCCGCAAGGCGGGTAATGTTCTTTTTTTTTTCATTTATTTAGGACAAAAAACAGTCTCACAATTGCTGTTACTTTTAGATACTTAGTATAAATACATTAATCATTGTGACACCAACAAACAATGTCCACATAATTAAGCACAAAAAAGTCATGGCCCAATATCCCTATTCCATCCATAGGGAAGGCCTGTGCTCCAGCAGTGGGGACAATAATAGGCTGATGATGATGATGAAGGTACTCACGTTAGAATCCAGTGCTACGACTAGAGTGTAAGGGTCGTCGGCCATAAGGAGGGAAGAACGCCGCACTCTTTCTTTGCGCGGAATTATGCTACCGCCGCGTTGGTAAACTGGGATCTATACAAAAAATAAGCAAAAATCAATATGGATACAGTCAACGAATTACAAAAAATGTGGAATACGAACTGCGGTAAAAAGTGGTTCCACGCAAACTGCGATCAAGTGAGCGGGGCGGAAAAACTGCGATCAACACGAAAGAATATTGTCCCAAACATGGCATCAAACTAATTAGGCTTGATATTTAAATGAAAACTGTATTGTAATTTAAAATTAAAAAGAACAAGGTCTTAACTTAGGAAATAGTTTATAATATTATTGTAATGAACTTAATGCCTATTTTTAGCGTCTACTTTAATGCACGCGGTGTTTACCTTAATAGATTGTTACACTAGAGTGCATACTTAATCTTGTAAATAGTTTTAAGTAATGTGTAAACAAACACTGGTAAACCATATAATAAATAAATAAATACGTCGATCATGGGATTGGTTGGGGATTTCCGTTTGCCATTATCTTTCCTCGGAGGAGATCGATGGCGCAAATGGTTAGCGCGGTCGGCTGCGATCGTTGAAGTTAAGCAACTTTCGCAGTGGTCGGTCATTGGATGGGTTATCAAAAGATTTACTGTCTCCAGCTCAGGAAGGCACGTTAAGCAGCATCTGCAGTCGTTAGCACTCACCAATCCGCACTGGGCCCGCGTGGTGGGTCACAGCCCAATCTTCCTATTCCATCCGTAGGGAAGGCCGTGCCCCACCAGTGGGGACATCAACGGGCTGATGATAATGATGGATACAGTAGATCTATAACTTTTTTAAAGCAAAAACGAGAAAGATAAATCTGTCTATTGCTGAGAATTCGTAGAGCCCTCAGAACCAGAACTAAAGCATAGAATGCTATGACGTTTGAGTACGTACACTCCCATAGACAATCAATAAGGTATTTGACCAGTTTGAGAAAATGGAAAATCTGAATTGAAACATAGAAAACTTTTTATCCCGGAAAAATGATAGGTTCCCAAGGGATGGTGAAAAAACTAAAGTTATCGCGGACGACGTCGCGGGCGGCCGTTAGTAAATTTTATTTATTTATTATCAGGACCACCAGAGAAAGTTACATTAAATCGTGTTTTTAAACATTACCAGTGATACAAACAAAATGCAAAATTTTATTGAAGGTAGCCACATCATGCTTAAGAGACAGTACGAACGGACTGGATTTTAAATAAAAAAAACAAACAGAAAGATAAACTGAAACAAGATATCAGTAATATTTATCCCGGAAAAGTTATAGGTTCCCGTGGGATTTCGAAAAAACTTAAGTTGTCGCGGGAGGCCGTTAGCAAATAATAATGATAATTTATTGGAACCACTTTACATTTTCGTACATGATAATGTGAACCCTGCCCTCTGGAAAAGGTTACCCTGAGGACCAGAAGATAGTGCTCTCCCCACTATTGTTACTTTAGAGCTACAATAATTTAAAACTACTAAATAAAACCGGTGTGTGTGTGTGCGTGTGTGTGTGTGTGTATGTGTGTGTGTATTAGTGTGTATGTATATGTACCTGCGTGCGTATTGTGTAGCGTATTTGCATTTGTTTTATCGCTTTCATTCTGTCAATGTAATATATTTAGTAATTGTTCTACTTCATTGTATTCTACTCTATTTAGCCAATCTAGGATTATATTCTTTATAGTGTCACAAACTCTCTCGAAACGTAACCGCGAAAGCGCTAGAGATCGAATGTGTCAGAACACCGCCGGTCGCGATAGAGGTCGAGTAATGCGGCTCATTCCAAAATGAGCCTTATGCAGTGCGGCGTAAGGGAGATAGTGCAACGACATCTGCATTTGTTTACAAGTTATGCGCGTTACCTGCGTAGGTATAAGTAGGTACTTTTTACTCGCGGGTGTTAGCTAATTCTCAATTTAACAGGTACTTTCTAGAATGCGTCGATCAGCGTATATAAGCGCGATTGGCGCCGCGTAGAGACAGTAGAGTTTCAAAAGCGATTTCGGAGCGAATCCAAAGGCGATCAAAGTGCAACAAAACTCGGGTAAAAGAACATATCGCAGATATGAAACATAGGCGCGAAAATAAATCTGCAGTGTGTGAACATGCATTAGGGGGACCAAACCACTACATTAGATTTGATAGACCACAGATCCTTGCAGCTGAGCGGCGGTTCGTTCCTCGAATGATGCGCGAGGCTATTGAGATTAAAAAATATCCAAATTTCAATAGGGAAGATCGTTGGTATATACCACCAGCTTGGGAACCTATTATACAGGAGATAAAATCCCAACCCCGAGCACACACTGCAAGACCATCAGATACTATTAGTTCTTTTTGTTTTTTTGTTTGCATAATTTAACATAAGAAGGAGATAGAAAGCCTCTCTTGAGTTTGTTTCGCCGGTTCTTCTCAGGAAGGTCTCCCAATTTTGGAACCGGTGGTAGTTTACGGTAGTTAGGGTCAAATAAATAAACTCAAAATTACAAACAAGAATTTTAAATAAAATACTTTATTAAGTAAATTAAATAATAAATTCATACATAGACAATAAAATTTTAAAAATCTTCCAATGAAATAACCGAACGCACAATATAATTCTTTCGAAGGTAGCTCGACAATTTTAAATAAAATCATTATTCTGACGATGCAGACCTGAAAAGGCTGCGAAACGTCAATAAATAAATAAAGTTTCGTGCATTAACCCGTAAAAACTAGTTTTATTTAATGAGTGATGTGCGTGAAAACCTAAGAAACAAAAAGTGTTCAAGTGAGATTGTTTAGACTTGTATAGTGAAATACAGTGTTTAGTGAGTGTTTTGTAATTAACATTGCGTGTTAATTGTGTGAACTGTGTGGTGAATAAAGAACTGTGAAGCGTGAACTGGCATATAATTTCGAACCCCATCCCGACACGTAACAATAGTATAATATAAGGTTACCTTAGCCAAGGTGACGTCAATGTTGGCGTAACCGGCAGCCACTCGGGCCTGATACGAGTCCACGTCGTACCAGAGGGTGTTGGATTCGGTGCCCGGAAAGTAAACTTTGACACTGGTAGCACCCGCTGACGTCACCGGTCGCACTAAAAGCTTGTCACCTGTATGATAATATTGATAATAAAGAATAACTTCTTATCCTCTCGAGCGGTCACGCGCATGCGCCGCGAAGGGGTCAATGGACCGACCACCCACCGAGGCCCCCCGCGGTGTGGGAATGATTGCATTGTTTTGCCGATTTCTCTGTTATTTTGTAAGAATACCCTACACAAACTATATATATTTGGATTCTCCATAAAATTTACTATAAAACAGTGTGTAACAATGCGTCATGTCTATAATCTATTTTAATTACGTTACGGTAAACTCGGGAAAGATAAAAAAAGGTGTTTAGACGGGTAAAATGGAGTATATTTTCAAAATTTCATGTCCAGATTTTTTGGTTATTTGCACATTCTATTATAACTTACCAAATAAAACTCTAAAATACTGTACTCCCACAATTAAATTTTACACTACAGCTCTGTCTCGAGCGCATGTCGTAAGTGTAAACACGCGCGCGTTAATATAAACAAACTCGGATTTCAAGTGGGTCATTAAAGATTAAGCCGGGTGTTTGAATGGTGCTGATTTATTGCGTTAGTGCTGACACTAATTTTGACGACCTCCGTGGCCGAGTGGTTTGTACGCCGGGTTTCATGGTGTCGCCGCTTCGAGAGATCCCGGATTCGAATCCCGGTGGGGGCTGTTTGTGTGATGAATACGAGCATTTGTACTTCAGTAATGGATGTTTAATATATATTTCTATATAAATATACTTATATATGTACTTTATATGTATTCTATCCGTTATCCTAGTATCCCATAACACAAGCCTTACAGTGCTTTTTGGAGGCTAGGCTAATTGGTGTGAGTGTTGGAAATATTAATTTATTTAATTAGCCTAAACCTAAACTAAGCACTATAAGTCTTGCGTCACTGGGATACTAAGGAAACAAACACCCAATCACGAATTTTGGCAGCTCCGTAATCGTTTCGTCATCGTCAAGTTTTCTGTGAAAAAAGCCACTTTTTACTTACATCCGATAGGGGCGCTGCTTAGTTTTCATAGCAACAGCACCCTTAGCACGAACCATTATCGAATTCGAATAGTTGAATTCGATTTATATATACGTCAAATGTGTACTGTTTTTTAGTCTTGTTACGCTCGTCGTTCTGCTGTTCAAGTTTCCATACAAAATTTGACATTGACATTTCGCACTCACAAACTATTCGTATTTACGATATTGGTTCTTGCTAAGGGTACTACTGCCTGTCAAAATTCGTGCTTAGGCCGCAGATAAAAATACATTAGGAGCTTGACACCAACATTATGTTAATAATAACAAATACTTGCATTCATTACGCGAACATTTTGCATCTACCAAACCCAGGACCTCAAGAGTAGGCGACACCTATAAACCGGTGAACATACCACTCTAAAAACGAGGTCGTCAAATTGCATCGATACAAGATAAAATTAGATTTCATGGTAATAATATAACACAAAATAGGTATCAACATTGTCAACAAAGGGAAGGTTGTCTAATTTGCAAAAAACGAACAGTCGTGTTAAGTGCTAACATTAGGTTACTTATTCAGACAAGCATTCCAACTTCTCAACTTGCTAATATAGGCATCTTACTTAAAATTACAATTTTGAAAGAAAATAATCTGAAAACACACCCCATTTATAAGCCCATACGGTACAATTATATTTATCATAGATCTCACCTAGTAAGTATTGGTCGTCGATGGTAAAAGTGGCTTCTTCCTTGGGGTAGTGTTGGAACAGTGGTCTCATCACTGGCAGACCGTCCTTGGAGTGCTCATAGAATAGTGTGTACCTAAATAAGTAAAATAAATAATTAAAAATAAAATAAAATAATATTTATAAGAACCAACGAATTGAATAATATGGAATATGAACTGAATAATATAGAAAAAAACGTGGTTCCACAAAAACTGCGATCAAGTGGGCGGGGCGAAAAAACTGAGATCAGCACGCCGATCATAATCATGGGATTGGTTGGGATTTCCGATTTTACATTAATGTACCCAATGAATGTATAGCCGAATTCATTTGCAGATATTTGATTTGTCAAAGTATTTTGTTTTGTCTGTCTGTGTGTGTCGCGTTAGTATTAAAGTGTAGTGTGTAGTGAGTTCAGAACCATTTTTTAGAGGTCTCCGTTAGAAAGTATTGCTTCCATGTTCATATCATTTCTAATTCGTTGATTGGAACTAATCAGAGTCGATGTGACCTAAAATATTTTTAAGGATGGCTAGAGCGGATTATCCGGCTTCTTTCTTTAGTTTTTGCGATTAAATATTTAGACTGCATTATTTGAATCATAGTTAAATTTGACTATGGTAAATGCTATGTCAAATCCATAGTAAATGTGTAAAATTTTGACAAGTGGTTATTTTCTCTCTAGTATTTTGATTATAGCCAAATTTAACCATGTTTTGAACAACACGACCTCAACTACTACATTTTGCCTTATTGAGTCCATGATGATGCCAAATAATATGATATAGTACAAATCACTGCCGGAGACTCACTACCACCCTCCATACAAATTTGGATTGTCTACTTTGCAAAAACAAACAGTAATGAGAAGTCAAAGTCTACTAATATGGACATCTTCTGGGATTCATTAAAGAGACCGAGATCTTTAGGTCTGGTTGTGATGAGGTCATATTTATTAAGTGTTTCTTGTAAAACATTCTTATTACTAGAAAAAATCACGATTTAAATAAACATAACTCACCAGAAATCAATGAGCGCGTATCTTCGTCTGTTAGCGTCCCGTATAAGGGCAGTGGTGGAGGGCTCGTACAGCCACGGCTCGCGGCGTTTGGTCTCTATGTGCGAGTGCGCGCGGAAGAACGGTTGGAACGCGCCCGCCTGGTAGCAAATGGGACGAAAACATAACTACCCGCTCGAAAAGCGCTTTAAAAAAATCGGTGCCTGTTAAGTCGGTTTACTGACGATAGTAGAACGTGAAAACGTTTTTTACAATGTACATAGTTTTTACAAGTATGAATGTGCACTTTTCACTGCACTTCATACTTGACTAAAACATGTAAATGTATTATTGTATAGCAGCTGTCCATGCGGACGCAACGCTCACTCAAGTAGGAGAGACACAGATGTCGAACGCGGAGGCCGATTGTGCCTCTTTGTCGCTCGTTGCGCGCTCTCGCTTGCACTCCAAGCCTTAAATGGAACGCCTCAGAGTGAGGTAACGCCGCATGAGTCATGTTTTTTCGTGCGTGCAGCCGGCTCCATCGAATTATAAGACGTTGTCACGTCAAACTGAAGCACAATGTACGTCATCATCACATTACTCTTGTACTTATACGCGAGCGGGAAAAGTGTATGGAAATCAATGGAACGCTCTGAGCGCGTATAAAAAGTCTTTGAAAATTCATGTTAACACGCTGTTTTTTTTTGGTCATATCAATATGATTATGACTATTAAGACTGGAACATATTTTAAGAATCAATCAATGAATGAATAAATCAATGAGCGCGTATCTCCACCTGTTAGCGTCTCATATAAGGGCGATGGTGGAGGACTCTTACAGCCACGGAGAAGAACGGTTGGAACACGGCGCCTGTGGCAAGTTTATATGTTGTTTTGTTATTCAATCAAGCAAAAACGACTAAACGGATTCGAATGAAATGAAAATAAATATGAATGATATAAAATGATAGAAAAACGTCGAAATGGCGACCAAATCGTTCGGTTAAATTAAAATTAGCTATGGGAATTTTGACAGCTCCGTAATCGTATCGTCATCGTCAAAAGAGACGATTCAAATTTGTATGTAAGGTGGTAGTGAGTCTCCGGTAGACTAAATTTTTATGAGAAGTAGTGCACTTAGTACACTTATAAGTGAAAATTCACTCAAAAGTGACGTCACGAGCCCCTACTCCCAAACTTTGACGCGCTATAATTTTGTCATTTTTTGGTTGATTGCCCAAAGAAAAAATACGTGTCCATTATTTTTTGATCATCTAACTGACGGACTAAATAGAATTTCGTTTACTGTACCCCGTCATCATCCCTATTTCACGAATATCATGCAAGATTGGACTGACTGACATTTGCCATAGCGATTAAGTTGACGTAATAAGCCGCCACACACTAACAATATAACGTAACTTATCAGTATATAGTATAACAGGGTGGCAAGCATCCTTACAAAATTGTTAAATTTTTAAACACGATTTAAAATAATCCGAGATAAATAAAAAAGTGATAAAAAATTTTTTCATGTTATAATTTCTTTCAATTGATATGTTTCGTCGCTGCCGGAAACCGACTACCACTTTTGAAGCATGTCCTTTGTATGGAAGGAGCCAGTTGTTCTTACGTCCGGTAGAGGCGCTGCTTAAATTCCATAGAAACTTTGACGCCGCGATACGATTACGGAGCTGTAAAAACTCATGCTTGGGCCTGAGTTCTGAGATGGTACGGACATTTCACGCAATATCACAAGGGTTGTAGTAAGATTGGCTACCACAACAATTTTTAATTGTTGCGAATTTGTAATAAACTTTAAAATTATACTAGAGTCCGTGCACTGCGGAAAATAATCTGTTGCAATTTAAAATAGCAGATGCGAAATGTTTTAAGTTTTTTCTTAACAAAATAGTACCGGAAGTAGGCGTGTTTGCGATTTAATTTTACAGTTCGAAAAGAGCAAAGAATAAAATTCATATTGTGCTCTGAAAGATTTAGTATAGATATTTAAATAAATAAATATTTCCAACACTCACACCAATTAGCCTAGCCCCAAAGTAAGCACTGTAAGGCTTGTGTTATGGAATGCTAGGGTAACGGATAGAATACATATACAGTACATATATTTATATAGATACATATGAAACATCCATGACTGGAGTACAAATGCTCGTATTCATCACACAAACATCAGCCCCCACCGGGATTCGAACCCGAGACCTCTCGAGTCGACGACACCATGAAGCCCGGGGTATAAACCACTCAGCTACGGAAGTCGTCGAATTTAGGAAGTACTTAAAATTTAAAAGTAACATATGTACAGTTGAACCAAATTCTTGTGGCACTTTTATGACATTGACAGGCGCTGCTGTTGAAATAAGGATAAAATAGGTACTTAAAATCTCCTCAGAACGTTATAATTAGTAATAACTCAAAAACACTAATAGGATATATAAAAGGTTTATTAACATCTTCCTATATAAATAAAAGGGGTTATTTTTACCTTTCTAAAATTAGTTCCGATTTCGGCCACACGCCACAAGATCTTAGTCGACTTTGATTAATCGACCTTATATACATATCTATAAAGGCTATTTCATATTATTAATTAAGTATATCTCAACATGACTCACCTGATACCATCTCGTCATCAACTCCGCTTCGGGATACTTGAAGAACCCGCCCACATCTGCACCACAGAAGCTGATGCCCGCGAGCGACAGAGACAGACACATCGGAAGGGAAGCGGCTAGATGGCCCCACTCCGCCGCGTTATCGCCGGTCCATACGGCCGCGAATCTATACGATAGAACCGCACGATAACACTATAGTATAGCGACATTATATCAGAAAGAAGTCACGCCCGCGAGCGACAGAGACAGACACTTCCGATCGGTAACGGCTAGATGGGTCCATACGGCCGCGTATCTATACGATAGAACCGCACGATAACACTACAGTATAGCGGCATTATATCAGAAAGAAGTCACGCCCGCGAGCGACAGAGACAGACACTTCCGATCGGTAACGGCTAGATGGGTCCATACGGCCGCGTATCTATACGATAGAACCGCACGATAACACTACAGTATAGCGGCATTATATCAGAAAGAAGTCACGCCCGCGAGCGACAGAGACAGACACTTCCGATCGGTAACGGCTAGATGGGTCCATATGGCCACGTATCTATACGATAGAACCGCACGATAACACTACAGTATAGCGGCATTATATCAGAAAGAAGTCACGCCCGCGAGCGACAGAGACAGACACTTCCGATCGGTAACGGCTAGATGGGTCCATACGGCCGCGTATCTATACGATAGAACCGCACGATAACACTACAGTATAGCGGAATTATATCAGAAAGAAGCCACGCCCGCGAGCGACAGAGACAGACACTTCGGAACGGTAACGGCTACATGGGTCCATACGGCCGCGTATCTATGCGATATAACCGCACGATAACACTACAGTATAGCGGCATTATATCAGAAAGAAGCCACGCCCGCGAGCGACAGAGACAGGCACATCGAAACGGTGACGGCTAGATGGTTCCATACGGCCGCGTATCTATACGATATAACAGCACGATAACACTACAGTATAGCGGCATTATATCAGAAAGAAGCCACGCCCGCGAGTGACAGAGACAGACACATCGGAACGGTGACGGCTAGATGGGTCCATACGGCCGCGTATCTATACGATATAACCGCACGATAACACTACAGTATAGCGGCATTATATCAGAAAGAAGCCACGCCCGCGAGGGACAGAGACAGACACATCGGAACGGTGACGGCTAGATGGGTCCATACGGCCGCGTATCTATGCGATATAACCGCACGATAACACTACAGTATAGCGGCATTATATCAGAAAGAAGTTACGCCCGCGAGTGACAGAGACAGACACATCGGAACGGTGACGGCTAGATGGGTCCATACGGCCGCGTATCTATGCGATATAACCGCACGATAACACTACAGTATAGCGGCATTATATCAGAAAGAAGTTACGCCCGCGAGTGACAGAGACAGACACATCGGAACGGTGAAGGCTAGATGGGTCCATACGGCCGCGTATCTATGCGATATAACCGCACGATAACACTACAGTATAGCGGCATTATATCAGACAGAAGCCACGCCTGCGAGTGACAGAGACAGACACATCGGAACGGTGACGGCTAGATGGGTCCATACGGCCGCGTATCTATGCGATATAACCGCACGATAACACTACAGTATAGCGGCATTATATCAGACAGAAGCCACGCCTGCGAGTGACAGAGACAGACACATCGGAACGGTGACGGCTAGATGGGTCCATACGGCCGCGTATCTATGCGATATAACCGCACGATAACACTACAGTATAGCGGCATTATATCAGACAGAAGCCACGCCTGCGAGTGACAGAGACAGACACATCGGAACGGTGACGGCTAGATGGGTCCATACGGCCGCGTATCTATGCGATATAACCGCACGATAACACTACAGTATAGCGGCATTATATCAGACAGAAGCCACGCCTGCAAGCGACAGAGACAGAAACACCGGAACTTATGTATACCGTAACGAGAAAATAAAAAATTAAGCGGCACCAACAATAGACCTTTCCTAGTCTAATTATCACTACATAGTATAAAGCAAAGTCGCCTCCCGCTGTCTGTCCCTATGTATGCTTAGATCTTTAAAACTACGCAACGGATTTTGATGGGTTTTTATGCATCGACTGTTCGGCCTAAAATTCGTATTCGGTACATTCGGCATAGTTTTTCATGTTAATTTTCGGTTGATTTACCGAATATTTAAAACCAAATGTTCACCAAAATCTGATTAAAAAAAAAAGAAGTATTTAATTAATTGAGAACTTCGGAGATTTTGTGTGGTTTCGTTTGAAATTCGTGATTTCTCGAAAACCGGAAGTTGTATAATACATGCATAATAAAGTAGAGAAACACTGATAATTTAGAGGTTTTTAATGTAAGGTCGTAAAGAAACGCTGGCTAATCCCTACGAGATAAATCAAAATAATGAACTACTGTATTGTTCACCTTAAAAAGGTCTACAAAAAAGTCCGCGATGGTATATGACTATCTCTTAGGTATAACCCACAATAACCATTTCTTATCCTATACTTTTTACGAGAAATAATAGCTTGTTTACGAAGCGATTTTCAGCAATATAACATTAATCCTTATCCAATTAAGTACGTTATATACATTATGCATTTAATATAGATCAATTTGGCCATTTAAAGCATGTAATTTAAACGAATATTTTCGAAGATATTACAGATTTAAAATGCAGGGACATAGCGGTTCCGACGCTACCGGGCGGGGGGCCTGGCGGCGCGTGCATATTGTAATTAGGTATTAGAAGGATGTCATTGTGTATAATACAAGCCTGAGAACAAAAACTATAGTCTACACTACAGCTCTACACCGAAGCGAAGCGAGGGCGGGCCACTATTAAATTATATGCATAGATTAATACATAGACGATCGCAACGTCTCTCTCTCTCTATGATATCTGCGAATATCGATCGTATAGATCGTGTAGCCAATAGTACAAGTATTAGTTGCATACAACACAATACAAATTAATTACATTACAAAACAAATTTATAACTCGACTCAAATGAAATTGTGCGAAATCACTTAAAAATATAATGGCCAAAATAAAAAAAATGTGGAAGTTACTTGTCCATTATTAGGCAAAATAATAATAATAAAAATCTAAAGCACAAATGAACACAATCTTACCTCTGAGTTCCAGCGAACGCAGACCTTGTAAGTATGAATGGTCTATACTTATTGTCACTACGGTCCAGCATTCCTTGGTGGGTCGCTCTGATGTTCCACAGACCGTACTCATTGTGCACATGTCTGTTTTGGACAATTAAAAAAATAATTATAAATAAATAAATATTTCCAACACTCACACCAATTAGCCTAGCCCCAAAGTAACAGACTAGGGTAACTAGGGTAACAGATAGAATACATATATTGTACATAATTATCATCTATTGGAGACAGTATTGGAACATGACCGAATTTTGAATTGAAGAATTCAAAGAATTCTAAAACTTTGTAGTTGAATTCTTTAATTAACTTAATACCTCAAATTTCGGTTTGAATTATAGAATTCACAAACTTTGAAGTTGAATTCTTTAATTAACTCAAAACCTCAAATTTCGGAGATGTTCCGGTACTGTCTTCGATAAACGATATATAAGTATATTTATAATACATATTGATCACCTATGACTGGAGTACAAATGCTCGCATTCATCATACAAACATCTATCCCCATCGGGATTCGAACCCGGGACCTCTCGAGTTGGCGACACCATGAAGCCCAGCGTAAAAACCACTCGGCGACGGAGGTCGTCAAAATGTTTATTATAATTACCCTACCCCTTTATTATAAAATCAGCATCGCTATTTCTAAAGCTTTGAATAGACCTTAACCCCCTTAGTCAGTCTTCGTTTAAACCTAATGTTGTCGTTGTTGTCTTTGTCTTTTTTTAGCAAACGTAAGTGACAGCATCAGTTTAAGTCCAGGTTAAACTGGTGTAGTAAGGTAGTATAACTTTACCTATAATTGTAATTTAGTTTATACTATGTAAAATGACGTTTAATACTTATACTACGTAAAATGACGTTTTTAGACAGGTATCTAATCAGTGTTAATTAAATGCATTTGAAGCAAATTTTGTTCTAATTAATTTACAAACTTACTATAAACTGATTTAATACTATTTGTGATATTCAAATGCATGGTTGCTTATATAGCCGTCTCTTTTCTTTGCGGTCCTTAACTGCTATATTGCTTACAGCGCATTCAGAATTGCGCATACAGTCAATGAAATAAGGTTTATATTCTTCCGCATACAGCAATAAGTCGTAAAATTTTACGAGCTTCCATTTCGAACTATCATAAGTCGTAACTCTTTGACGCATGCGTTTTAATTAAGACCTTATACAGTATGCTTTAAAGGTGACTTTCAATGCTTAAACATTGCCTTATATTGTTTTTGACTACGCGATCATCTTACGGAGCTCCGTGGATCATCAAATGTACCTTTTGGACAGATTTCGGCCACGATTTTGTTCGTGATGTTGTATCTAGGGTATTAATATCGTTGTAAAAAGGTGGCAAACAAATATATGGTAAGCGGCAATTTAACCTAAATATAGACGTTTGCGATATCAAAAATATCACTCGCGCACTTGACTACACTGACCCAATCCCCTACCACGTGGAGGCCTGGAAACTTACTCATCGACAGAAATACAACACTAGCAAAGTGTTACTATACTGCGGTTTTCTCTGAGGCAGAGGTTACTTCACCAGACGTGCGCTCCATATCGAGCTGATAATCCGCTTTAAACCCCTCTTAAAGATCCCATGTCTTCAGGAAATCTTTTAGTAAAGAAACTTATATGCTTTATAAGAAGAAATTTCATTATTTATCTTTAACAGAGATGAGAACTTGAGAAATTCTTACAAGTAATAAATTAATGAACATGGCTTCTTCTTTTCTAAGGGAAGGTCTGAGCCTAAGCGATGGCACATAATGGTGGGGGAATAAAAATGTGACTGAATTTGATGATGAAACTATTGAATATTATATTAACCTGTGTTCCCAGAATGAGCCGATACCTTCTACGCCCTCTTGCGGTTGCTTCCAGTGGCGACAATCCTTGGGCATTGTGACTTCTGGACCATTAAATACCTAAACAATATAAAAACTCAGTTTTATTCAAGAAATATATAGACAAACTAGCTGTCCCAGCGAACTTCGTACCGCCATAAAAAAAATAGGGGTTGGTGGTAGAAGGGTGAAAATTTAGGGTTGTATGTATTTTTGTACGAAGTGTCATAAAAAAAAAGACAAAAAATTTTGCCCAGTAAAAAAATAATTAAGGGTGTACCTAAGTTTACTCTCCAGTGTGTTTTTAATTCTATTGTCAACTCTGTTTTGTATTTGGAATCTTTCTCAGTGTGGGTGTTTTAAGATGTGCATTTGGAATGGCTTCATCAATGAGGATCACTTCATACTTCAGCAGACGGGACGGTCCCGTCTGCTGCCTGGTCCGCGTGGATTTTTTTCTAGTTATATTTCCTTTAGATTTAAACATCAAGCAGTTACGTGCTTAAAAAAATAAAATTATCACTTCGTACTTGATCTTGTAGTAGAAAGTGATAATTGACCTTGTAGTGTAGTGTTTTGTCGGCGACGATTGTTTTATCGCAAAAAAGTTTAAAATATTTTGTATAAAGAATCACTTGAGGTGTGTATTTTAGTAGGTTATGTTGTGTGGAACAAGTTTATATTTAAATGCAAGATGTTGGTGTATGATGGCAGCAATTTGATCATAACGATGTTTGTAATCTGTTTTATTATTATTAGGGATGGGCAGAAATTCGGTTCAACCCAATTTCGTCAGCTTGAACCGAAATTCGGTTCAGATGACGAACATTCGGCACAGGAAAAATAATACCTACAAGCACTATTTTGACTAAATTTAATAGAATTAGAATGGCATTACTGTAAAATTCTTTATAGAGAATGACAAGGATAAACTGTTGTCAAATTTAAATTTAGGTTTAGAGAATAATGCCAGAATCGACACCACTATTGCAAAAATTAAATAAATTTATGATTCTTCTAACAAACATCTGGATTAAATATTTCTTTACATCAAGTATTTCCTATTACAATTAAAAGGTCTTTTTTTTTCAACAATCAAATTAAACAAACTTCGATTATACTTCACACGAAGGTAGTTGTACAACCCTGTACTACTGGAGGGTTGGTTTACTGGGGGTTGATTAACAGGGGTTACTTAAATAAAAAAAAAACTGGCACCCTGTTTCCACAGATTGCTGTGGCCCAATTTATATTCCTATATAAAATGTCCTTACACTCATTTTTGCATTATCTAGTAACAAAACTTATCACCTAAAACCTCGTCAATGTCAATGCACTTAAAACAATTATTTTTATGTTCTTATTTATTTTTAAGCATTTAACTGCTAGATGTTTAAATCTAAAGAAAAGTTTTACTAAAAAACAAATCCACGCGGGCCAGGCAGCGGACGGGACTCGAACCCGCAACCCTCGCAATCCGGGCGAATGCACTGAACAATTATGCTACCTCGGCCCTGATTGCCCGAAATTTTCCTAGCCTTAAGCTGCAAGGCAGCGCCATCCCTTCGCATTGAAGGCAACCCACAATGTTAAATGAATACTTTTTCAAGTATTAAATATTTGAAAGAAGAAATAGTAATTATAGTTATGTTCTTATTTATTTTTTAAGCATTTAACTGCTAGATGTTTAAATCTAAAGAAATGTTTTACTAGAAAAAACTACTTTTTTCTACAATTATTTTTGTTGTAAACAATCGCACGCGACAGGCCGATGACGTTTTTGCAAATGACTTTTATCCGAACTTTTCATTTGAACCAAATGTTCGGCCGCAATTCGGATTTGGTTTAAACCACATTCGGCTCATATCTAATTATTATAAAAAAAACTCACGCTGGGCTCGTTCATATCGTTCCATATGTGCACGTCGTTGCTGGTACCCGGGAAGTTTTCGAACTTGTATCTCTCCGAGTAGTACTTGGAAGCCTCCGGGTTGAAGAAGTCCAGGTAGGATGATGAGCCGGGCCAGCACCAACCTGATGAATAAATAATATAACAATTTACAAAAAAAAATCCTTCCCGTCTTCATCCCCGACCTTGATGACCAGAAAAAACAAACTTTCAATTACCCATCCTAAAGCTAGCCACTGAGCGAGTTGTTTAACTCCTATGATCGTTGCATACCTTCATAATCCTTCCCGTCTTCATCACGAATTTGATAACCAGAAAAAACAAACTTTCAATATCCCATCCTACAGCTAGCCACTGAGCGAGTTGTTTAACTCCCACGATCGTTGCATACCTTCCTAATCCTTCCCATCTTCATCCCGACCTTGGTGACCAGAGATAACAAACTTTCGAGCACCCATCCTAAGGCTAACCACTGAGAAAGTTGTTTAAATTCCACGATCGTTGCTTGCCTTCATAATCCTTCCCGTCTTCATCCCGACCTTGGTGACCAGAGATAACAAACTTTCGATCACCCATCCTAGAGCTAGCCACTGAGAAAGTTACTTAACTTCCACGATCGTTGCTTACCTTCATAATCCTTCCCGTCTTCATCCCGACCTTGGTGACCAGAGATAACAAACTTTCGATCACCCATCCTAGAGCTAGCCACTGAGAAAGTTACTTAACTTCCACGATCGTTGCTTACCTTCATAATCCTTCCCGTCTTCATCCCGACCTTGGTGACCAGAGATAACAAACTTTCGATCACCCATCCTAGAGCTAGCCACTGAGAAAGTTACTTAACTTCCACGATCGTTGCTTACCTTCATAATCCTTCCCGTCTTCATCCCGACCTTGGTGACCAGAGATAACAAACTTTCGATCACCCATCCTAGAGCTAGCCACTGAGAAAGTTACTTAACTTCCACGATCGTTGCTTACCTTCATAATCCTTCCCGTCTTCATCCCGACCTTGGTGACCAGAGATAACAAACTTTCGATCACCCATCCTAGAGCTAGCCACTGAGAAAGTTGCTTAACTTACACGATCGTTGCTCACCTTCATAATCCTTCCCGTCCTCATCCTGATCTAAGTGACCAGAGGCAACAAATTTTTAGTCACCCATCCTAGAAATAGCCTTTGAGAAAGTTGCTTACCTTCATAATCCTTGCCGTCTTTATCCTTCACATAGTACCCTTTCTCCGTAGCATCTTCATGTAAGAAGTACCCAGCTTCACGTTTAATATGAGGGTCTATTATGGCGACAAGTTTACGGCCTTTAGCGGTGAGATTGGCCACCATTTCGGCCGGGTGGGGGAACTTTTCTACGTCCCATGTGAAATATCTAAGATAAAACAGAAATATAAATCAAAATCAGGGTAAAACTATCAGCAACTTAAAGAAAAAGAAGTATAGAAACTTTAATTAATTGATCGGCTGGACTGTATTTTCTGGGCCCACGATTTAACACTTCACTCTGGGTCTGGTGTTAAATATACGAATATCTCAAAGCCAGGACACGACTATCAGCTACGTAAAGCATAGATTATTCTTAAAAAAGAAGAATAGAAACTTTAATTAATTGATCGGCTGGACTGTATTTTCTGGGCCCACGAGTTAACACTTCACTCTGGGTCTGGTGTTAAATATACGAATATCTCAAAGCCAGGACACGACTATCAGCTACGTAAAGCATAGATTATTCTTAAAAAAGAAGTATAGAAACTTTAATTAATTGATCGGCTGGACTTTATTTTCTGGGCCCACGAGTTAACACTTCACACTGGGCCTGGTGTTAAATATAAGAATATTTCAAAGCCAGGACATGACTATCACCTACGATTAAGCATAGATTATTCTTAGAAAAGAAGTATAGAAACTTTAATTAATTGATCGGCTAGACAGTATTTTCTGGGCCCACGAGTTGATACTTCACACTGTTGATTTGGAGTAAAATATAATATATTTCGTATATATACATATTATATATATATACGAAAATCACCATCACTGTATTACTACCAGCAACTTAAAGCATAGCTGCAGTTCCCATAGTAGGTCATCCATAAAGTACGTCACACGTGAAGGGGGAGGGAGGTGGTCGACGAAGTGTAACATTATGTAACAAGGGGTGGGGAGAACTAAGTTTCGTGACGTCAAACTTCGAAATCTTATACTTTTGAACTATTTTCAAAAACGTTGAAATATTTAGAACTCTTATCTGTATGTGTTTTAATTTATTTTTTTGGCTCAGTTTCGGAGCTGCTGTTTTAATTTAATAATTTCTAGTTGCAAATAGCAAAATATGTGACGCTACAGTGGGGAGGGGAACCCCCAAATGTGACAAGGATGTAGGAGTAAAAAAATTCACGACATTAGTGTGACGTACTTTATGGGTGACACTTAGCATGCGCACTTCAATAAGATTATAAAATGTCAAACTTCATAGTATTTGACAATTGAGTGATAAAAATGTGATATATATCGCGGTGCTCATGTTACGGAGGCAAAACAGACTAGTTTCAGTTTGAAAACTAGGAGTGGATTTTTTCGAGTAAAGTTTTATTTAGCTTCATATGTATATCAAGCAGTTCAATCCTACTATATTTCAAATATGAAAGTTGGTAACACAAAAACGGCTGATGTTTGAACAGATTTGGATGAAATTGGCATACATAAAGTTTATCGCGTGGATTGAGACATAGAATACTTTTACCCTACAAAATTTCATGTTCCTGTGGCATTCACAAAGTTAAAAAGCGGAAAAAGTCGCGAGCGGAAGCTAGTAGAATAGAAATAATATAATATTGAAAGGGACAAAACAAATATTCTCACTTCTTCCTGTCAGTGTACTCGATGTCAAGCCATATGACGTCAGCGGGAATGTCGTGTACGTCAAAGTTGTCATCGACGCTTCTGACATCCGCTTCGTCGACGTAATTCCAGCGGCATTGGTGGTACGCGAGGGAGAATTTCTGACGACAATAACATAATTATATGGTATAATATAATCACACTAATATTATATAGGCGCAACTTTGTGAGTGTGTATGTTTGTTACTACTTCACGTCTAAACTGCTGAAGCGATTTTAATAAAATTTGATATGGAGTTAGCTGACACCCTGGATTAACACATAGGCAACGTTTTACTGCAGGAAAATATCCCTAATAAACCGCAGGTAACACCGCGGGGCACAGCTAGTAATATATATATATATATATATATATATATAATAACTTGAAGGGTAACTCGGCGAAGGCTAAAACGCTACGTGCGTCACACGCGATAATATATATACACATATATATGAGTGATGAGTGCGCTGCTCCATTCTCCTATTTTTTTTTTAACACACCAATTAGCCTAGCCCCAAAGTAAGCACTATAAGGCTTGTGTTATGGGATACTATAGTCCAGTCAGTATTGTCGCGAAATCCGTTTTTCCTCAAACAGCTGGAACTATGCTAAAAAGTTTCTTAAGATAGTAAAGAACACTTTACATAGAGAAAAAAATGTTTCCAACCCCGGGCAAGGGTGAAAACCACCCTTAATAATCTATTTTTCCAATTATCTCAAAAAGTATACGAGATACGGAAAAAAACTTCAAATGAAAATTGTAGATCTTTTTGAAATCTACAAAACATTATTCCACCCTCTTGCCCCTATTTTCAATAGGGGAGCCAATAATCGAAGTCAAAGATTCAATACTTAAAAAGTTAAAGTTAGTTAAAAAAGTTATCTTTGACTTCGATTATTGGCTCCCCTATTGAAAATAGGGGCAAGAGGGTGGAATAATGTTTTGTAGATTTCAAAAAGATCTACAATTTTCATTTGAAGTTTTTTTCCGTATCTCGTATACTTTTTGAGATAATTGGAAAAATAGATTATTAAGGGTGGTTTTCACCCTTGCCCGGGGTTGGAAACATTTTTTTCTCTATGTAAAGTGTTCTTTACTATCTTAAGAAACTTTTTAGCATAGTTCCAGCTGTTTGAGGAAAAACGGATTTCGCGACAATACTGACTGGACTACTAGGGTAACGGACAGAATACATATACTTTACATATATAAGTATATTTATATAGAAATACATATTAAACATCCATGACTAGAGTACAAATACTCGTGTTCATCACACAAACATCTGCCCCCACCGGGATTCGAACCCGGGACCTCTCGAGTCGACGACGCCATGAAACCCGGCGTACAAACCACTCGGCCACGGAGGTCGTCGACCTATGCCTTATGCGCCGCCTAATGTTAGGTAATTTAAGAAAAGAAGTTTCATTTTTTTATTATGTGTACGGTCTGAACAAAAATATTATTTTTAAAAAGAATTCAAAGCAATATTAATATTTCGGAGTCATTCAACTTGATTTTACGACAATATACTTACGGGTGGTATAGGTGCGGATCCAGTGAGTGTGGTGTACTGCCTAAAGACGTCCGATGGTTGGTCGCCCATGAATACGAATACGTCGATGAGGCCAGACTCGCTCATGAACCTAAAAATATTAACGACGTGTCATAATCCTAAAGTTATTATATTGATGATGTGTAACATCTTTCCTCTCGCTTTCGTGCAATTTGTGGGAGTGATTACGTGAAGTGGGACGGAAGTGTGTAACAGGAAGCTTGGGAAGCGCGCGCTATTTGATTTGATTTTAGAACATAATGTTCAAATGGCTTATTCCTTTTGTAGTAGATTTTATTTCTTTTTTTACTGTGAGGTTATATTATTTATTTTTTAAACATTCAACTGCTAGCTACTTAAATCTAAAGAAAATATTACTAGAAAAAAATCCACGCGGACCAGGCAGCAGACGGGACTCGAACCCGCACCCTTCGCTATCCGGGCGAATGCATTGACCATTATGCGGCCCTGATGGTCGCGTCGAAATTTCTCTAGCCTTAGGCAACGCCATCTCTTCGCATTGTAGGTAACCCACAATTTTTTTTCTAGTAATATTTTCTTTAGATAAGTTTAGGTTTCAAATGTTACACATCATACGCGACTACTGTAAGGCTCGCTCGTTTTTTAGGCGCGTTATGAAAAAATTATAAGAGTGAAATTTTAAGATGCGCGTGCATCACTGTAAAATGTTACACCATGAAGTTGGCCGCTAAACCGCACATTATGTCTCGAAAAAAAGCTACCAACAAAATAGATATAGAATCTATTAGTCGCGCATGTTAGTACCTACGCTCGTCGCCTCGGATCACTGTTTTCATATTTATAATATTTATCCACATGTTTCTAGTTTCTATATTCACAACACTCGTTTAGTTTCATACAAGTGCAAAGAATATATAAATTATATTCAGTAGTGATTTAAATTGAATATTTAGATTTTTTTTTAAATTAAAACTGAACTTTATTGACTGTGTCGACTATCCTTTTCCAGCCCTTCTTTTTTTTGTAATAAATTATTTTCATGCAATTAAAAATTAATTTTTAATGATGCCAAAGAAGTATAACTTCTCACGCGCGTATATAAGTACACGCACCCATTTTAAGCATTTAACTGCTAGATTTATAAATCTAATGAAACTTAAGAAATTTCACTAGAACAAAATTCCACGCGGTCCAGGCATCAGACGAGACTCGAACCAGCACTCTCCGCTATTCGGGCGGATGCAATGACCAATAGGATATTTGATAATATGAAAAATTAAGTACCAATTATTGTCGTCTATTTTTAATATGAATATTAGCAGCGACTTGACTATTCTCAGAGAATAAATAACTTTTCTAAAAATCATATACATCTTTCTATTATTTTTTGTTCTGCAGTGACGTGACAGAAAACGCTTGGAATTGGCGAAGACTAAAATGACGTCAAACGCTAGTAAACTCCCGGTCAAAGTGACATTACATTGTATCGTTTGACGTTTTAATGACAGTAGTGTGACATCACATACCAGTGAGATGCCATAATATCCAGATAAACTTTTACGCCGCAACTTGCAAAAAAGAATTTTCGATTTAGTTTTTTTACCGAAAATACACAACAGAATAATGTAAATCCACTATTTATGGACTCCATAAACATAATTGAATAACGAAAGACCGTTTTCTGAACTTGTCAAATACTCTACTATGCTACCGCGACTTTGATGGCCATGTCAAATTTCTTCTAGTATTTCTTATGACACAATTACACTTGGTCTTTAAGCCGTATTCGATTTCCCGAATTCGGACACTTGAAGTCCGTCCGCTATATTGACCACATCTATCCAAAACTTCCCTTAGTTTTGCCAAAAAATCAAACTTTTCTCTTAATAGTAGGCTAGTCTTAATATTAAAAAAATCTTTCTTAAGACTAATCTTATAATGACTGATATCAGACCTGGTATCCACGCGTCGTTCATTCCCCCAGTGACCATATTGGCTAGTGAAGACACCACGGTTCCGTCCATCATATTGATCACATCAACCCACGTTTCCACAAGTTGTGACAAAAATACGATCATTTTCCTAAATAATAGTCTGATGATGACTGATATCTTACTTGGTATCGACGCGTCGCTTATTCCCTCCCGTGACCAGATTCACTAGTGAAGACACCACGGTTCCGTCCGCTATATTGACCACATCAACCCAAGTCTCTGCCGAATTGTGCCAGAAAACGCCCACGGTACGCTTCATACTGAAAAGATGACCAAAATTACAGAAATTCCCTTTTTATTACAATAATATTAGGTAATACACTCGACTGCAAATAAACTGGGCCACTTGCTTCCAAGGAACTCTTATTTTAGAAAACTTACAACTATCAAAATTATAACTACAGAAAGTGCGTTTCGTGGTGAATTAAAATGAACTAGAATAATATATATTGAGATTAAATATTTTTTTTTTAAAAGCCATGGAAGAATCGTTTTCCTATTCTGGTATTCGGAAGTAACGAACGAAGCAAAAATACTCACGTCTCAGCTAACTATGGAGGAAAACTAAGGAAATGATAAGAAGTATCATACTGTCTTCATTTTATAAAAAAGAACGATAATCGCGACTTTATTAAAAATATAGCAAATTGTTAGCATTTTTTTTTTCAATTATTTATCACTGACAACAAGATGGTACATCAAATCGTTAGTAACAATATTTAACTTAAAATGCTATGTTAGTAGGTATATATTATTTTCAGGATTCAATCAATGGGTGTTTTTTTAAATATTGAAATTATAGATATTATAAATAATATAAAAAGTTATCTAAACCAAATGTCAAAAAAATGAATTTATGTAATTAATTAATATTCTACATTTAAAGTCATATAATCGAAATGTCAGAGGAGCTCGATGGCGCAAGTGGTTAGCGCGTTCGGCTGCGATCGTTGAAGTTGAGCAACTTTCGCAGTGGTCGGTCATTGGATGGGTGACCAAAAATTTATTATCTCGAGTTCCTCCGTGCTTCGGAAGGCACGTTAAGCCGTTGGTCCCGGCTGCATCTGCAGTCGTTAGCACCCGCCAATCCGCACTGGGCCCGCGTGGTGGATCATGGCCCAATCTCCCTGTTCCATCCATAGGGAAGGCCTGTGCCCCAGCAGTGGGGACATTAATTGGCTGATGATGATGAATTGAAATGTCGTGTGATATAATTTAATGTAATTAAATGTCAAACAATTTAAGTGAATTTATATAATCATTTAATATTTTATATTCAACGTCATATTTTTTGGCATTGCTGTTTTTGCTCGATTACAAAGTAAGTTGACAGTACTTTACTGTCACTTTCTGTACATATAGCTTTAATAGTTGTAAGTTTTATACTTTCTGAAAAAATCGATTTAGAATTCCAAGGCACTAACGGTTGGCCCAGTTTATTTGCAGTGTATATTGTTTTAAACTTTACTATAGTTATTCAACGGGATTGCTACCATGTACCTTGTTTTTTGAGTTTCCGATACTTGGACACTGGATTGGATATGTATTTTTTTTAATCACATAATCAGAACATTACAGAGGTAGGTTGATTTGAAATGTCGCATGACGTCACGTCTTGGTACAATTATACTTAGAGATGACGTCACGATCCTCCACTTCTAAACTTTAACGCGCTTTATCGCTGTAATCTTTAGGTTGATTGACAAAAGAAAAAATAGGTGTCAATTATTTATATCTAAAGAACGGACTAATTACAAATTCATTTACTTAAACCCTGTCATCATGCCTAATACACTGACATAAAAAAAACGTGTTCCCTCTAACAAACTGAGGTCATTAAAGAGAAACGTGAAGAAGCATTTCTACAGGCCGGCAAGGTGAGGATGGTTGATGTGACAGTTTACAACTGCTCCACCAGCTATCTACGCTTCTGGGCTTTATCAACACTTAACATCGGCTGGGGTAGACTCATTTGCCTAGCTAGCTATAAAAAACCACAGAAAAAGAGACAATCTTACCCATGCGCGTACAAGACAGGTATAGCCCCATATATGGCCATACGACTGTCCAGTTCGTACTCGAATACGTCCAGGTTAAAGAGACGGTACGGTTCGCCCGATGTGGTTGTGGTTAGGGCCAGTTTGTCAGTGTGTTCAGGGATACCTGGAGGAGAAAATATGTAAGTTCTACATCAGTTTATTGAGGTATCTCTTGCTGGGATACTAGCAAGGCCGGATTAAAGGCAGGACAGGTGAGGTTCGATAGCACAATTAGTTAACGCGTTCGGCTGCGATCGTTGAAGTTAAACAAACTGCGTAATGGATAGATGAACAAAAATGTCCATATTTTCTCTGCAGTCGTTAGCACTTGCCAATTCGTACTGGGCCCGCGTAGTGGGTCATGGCCTAATTTAACTATTCGATCCCTAGGGAAGGTCTGTTCCCCAGCAGTGGGGACATTAATAGGCTGATAATGATGAGGTGGGGCTGTGGCCCAGGGGCCTCCACAAGAGAGATAAAAAGAGTCAGTAAGATCGAAGGAACCCCTCGACCTCACCTCACACACACCGCGGAAAGTTGAACAAACTCGTGACTCATGTCACCTTAAGATAACGTGACATGACGACACATTTTTTCGTGACTGCAGCGCAGCCGGTGTCTATCGATTTGTAAGTCGTTGTCACGCCGAAAACATAAGGTAAATTAGCAAATTGCAGTCTGCGTTCGATTTATATTTTTATCAGACAAAGCAACATCTGTCGGGTCAACTAGTTTTAAATCAATTATAGTGTAAACTCTATATAACGACACTAAAGGGACTGTACATTTTATGGCGTTATAGAGAGTTGTCGTTAAATGGAAAGTAGAAAAATCTGATCATTATGAAAAGAAAAACTTTATTTCAAGCTAGTAGTTATGTACATAAAAAAATAATCTTATTTGAACGCCATTGTGTATATTCTGTTCGGCAAAAGAACGTACACAGCTGCGCAATTTTTTTTTTTTTAATTTTGGAAACTTAAAAGGTACTTTTTATAACTTAATTGTTGTCGTTATTGAGAGTGGGTGTAATGCTATATGTAGTGTATCATTGTATGGAAAACAAACTAAACCAACAAAAGACGAGTGATTTCGATGCTTTAGGGAGTTTGTCGTTAAATCGAGTGACGTTACATGGAGTTTACACTGTATTATTGAGTTCGATCTTCATTTGAATCTTCTCACCGTATACGTGATCCGCGTCCGGGAACCCGATGTCTAGCGAGATGGCCTCGTTGCCACGCGGCTTGCTGTCGTGGTGCGACTTGTAGTTCTCCCCCCATGTGCCGTCTTCTTCCTATCAACAAGAAACAATACCACTGCTTGCTACCGTAACTACCTAGGATTTTATTCCTACACACTTATTGAAAAAACCAACTATTTACTTACTAACTTACTCCCCATAAGTACTTAGACCATTTCTGTTGCAAGAAACAGAGACAACGTAAGTCGACGGCAAATTCTCAAACTGTATGCAGTCTTTTTCAGTGTGATGTGATCTTAGTGA